CACTGCATCTTTCAACCTCCAAGAAACTATATATCATAATATAGAGCTTGGTAGTCCGGTATACGTTGCTTTCTTGGATACCCAGAAAGCATTTGACACAGTGTGACGACATGGTCTTATGTACAAGCTGCACCGCCTGGGAGTATCTGGTCGGCTTTGGACTCTTATAGACGACTGCCATACGAATACCGCCTGTTCTATTGTGGTAAATAACGCAAATTCGAACTGGTTTCCCGTATCTCAAGGAGTTCGTCAAGGAGGGGTACTCTCTACATTTCTTTATTTGGTTTTCATAAATGATCTACTTCAAGACATTCAAGATAAATGTCCCAATATGGGTATCTACAACATCACAAGTTCGAATCCTGCCCTTGCAGATGACATTTCCTGTCTAGGATTATATCCTGCAGCAATCCAAAACATTCTTTCCACAGCATATGACTATTCTAAAAATTGGAGATTCAAGTTCAACGCTGACAAGTCTAGTGTTCTTCGATTTTCCAAAACATCTACCAACTATGACGAGTCCAAAGTATGGTTTCTTGGTCCAGACCCTGTGTATTTATCTAACACGTACAACCATTTAGGAATTCTTCTTCAATCCAAACTCATCCATACCGAGAAAATTGAAAATGCATGCAGGAAAGGACGACAGGCTTATTTTGCCCTCCAAATACAAGAACACCTTAACCCAGTCACCATATGACGGCTCTACACCAGAATTGTACTCCCTTCGACCTTGTACGGATGTGAACTTTGCTCCAACTTACGTCAAAGGGATCTGCAAACCCTTAGCACTTTTCAACACTTCATATGCAAGCATGCTGTTGGCCTACCAAAAGACACCAGATCTGATATCTGTGAATCCTTACTTGGACTTCTTCCGATTTCGTCTGAAATTGACAAAAGAAAACTGCAATTCTTCGGCCGTTTGTGTGAACTGGATAGCAAAACTCTAACGAAACAGATTTTTCTCCATCGGCTTTTTTCTTACTTACAGTCTCCCGAACTTAAACATTATGGCTTTATCAATGACGTCATGGCTCTTTTGCATAAGTATGACCTCCATCAGTACCTCCTTATATACTTACAAGATGGTTACTTCCCCACAAAATACATGTGGAAAAGATATGTTAAAGCAGCTGTCACCAACGTACATTTGGAATCAAGACGTCAACGGATGTACTCAGATCCGTCCTTTCTTCTCTTCAATACTATAACCGCAGGGAAATCTCCGCAAACTATCTGGGAAATTCCAAGCAACATCCACGAAATAGAAATTTGTAAATTTATTGTCAAGCTATGGACTCTTTCAGACTCTCCTCCAGAACCTTGTCCCCTCTGCGAAGAAAACTTCAGGAACATTTTCGAGCACATCTCTACAACCTGCTTGGGCACAACCGCCATCCGCGAAGCGTGGTGGGACACTCTGATCGAAAACTTTGATATCATATTAAATGCCGAACTTTCCGGTCTCAGTCCACATGACCTATACCTTTTTCTGCTAGGTGCTAGATTAATCTCAAGCACCTTATCTCATTTTGATGGTCCCAGCTTACATATGTTGAATTTTCGTTTCCTAAGGGATACTGCAGCATGGTTTAACAGACAGTTGCGTAGGAGAGCAGAGTGACCTGTCTATACTTACTGTTAGCAACCTAGTTTTTTTTTTTTCCTACCTTGTATATCGTTCTAGTCAGCAACCTTGTTCTTTCCTAATGTAATATAATGTACACATTTATTTTTTTTTTATTTTTTATTTTTTTTTAAATTATATATGATTTGAAATGTTCATATTCATGCAATCTCCTACGGGGGGAAATAAAGATAGAATGAATGAATAAATTACAAAAGTAAAGTTTGATTTTAGTCTTAAATTCTTTTGTGAAACTGCAGCAAGCTTAATATTGATTGATTGATTTATTTATTTATTTATGTTGTTTAACGTCCCTCTCGAGAATTTTTCACTCATATAGAGACGCCTCCACTTGCTGATGGTGAACTGCAAATTTTTTCCTTTATTTGGGACCTACGGTCATAGAGCAGCGAGGGATCTTTTACTTACCATCACCTACTGCGACACGGGACCTCGGTTTAAACGGTCTCATCCGAAGGACCGGTCTTCACGTCCCATAATGGGATTCGAACCCGCCATGTATTTAGGATCGAATTCTTACTTCGCGATTCTAGACCAGACGCTCTAATCACTGCGCCAGGCGGGCGACAGCAAGCGTAATATATACAAAAAATATTAAATACAATAAATATTTCTAAATAGATCTTAATATATAAAATTTCTAAGTAGATGTATGTAAATGAATTCGATGAATTCTGTTCAGAGAAAGACTGTACATGTTAAATATAATGCGCTGTAATAGTGCATATTATACAAATTTTGTAAAATGAAATACATTGTCCATATATTGTGAAACACCCTTTATAAAAATAATTTACATTTACCGTATTATCATAAAGGAAATAGTATTTTTTCATTCAAAGCAATGTAAAATAAAAAAATTAACAATAGAATTTTTTTTACTCATTTTGTATTATGTGACGAGTTACTCTTTATTGTTAATTACATGTAAAACACAAAAATTCTGACGTATGGAATCCAAAACGGTGCACCTGAAATGTCAAAATATACAATTTTTATGCACTCGTAAACGAAGTTTCGGGGGTATATAGTTTTTGTCCTGTCCGTCTGTCTGTCTGTTTGTTCGAAAAAACTTTAAGCTTGCCCATAACTTTTGTGTTGATGGGGCTACGGCTTTCATATTCACAGGTGTATTCTTTGTGACAAGACCTTTCTTTGGGTATCACCAAATTTGACCTCTTGACCTTGATCTTGTTTTTCTCGGTAATAAAAGGAATACTACAAAAACATTTTACTGCAAAATAATTCTGGAAATCAACATTTTTTTCAGATTGCTTACTTAGATTTCGTTGTTCCGTTTCAAGTTCTTATTCATTCCGGTTTACCTTTCTAAAACACAGTCAATGCTTCTGTTTCCATCTTTTTCAAATCTATTATTAGTTTGTTTCTAGTGCTTCAAAAAGAAAAAGGTCTGTAGGGCACATGTTGTTAATTGTGACGAGAATGCTCGTTATGGGGCTACATGTGCGTTGCTATTGATTCACTAAAATTACTTTTGACGATGAAAGGTTTGGAAAGTAGGGATTTTTTGTTTCTTGCAAATTTTCACTTTGTTTGTATCAATACAACTGTTCAGTTTGAAATCCATCTGTTTAAAGCACTCAAACGGCAGACTAATTTTTTTGGTCCCCCGCTTTCACTTAAAGTATGGGACATGAAATCGGGTATTTCCGTCTGTCTGTCCGACTGTCATTCTGTGTAATGCAGCTTAAGGTCAAGAATTTCCTAATATTAAAAAAAGGGATCCTTTTGACTTTTAAGTAAAAGTTGAAAGGTCATGTTTCAGTTGTTCTTTCTCAATATGCAGATCTTTTTCAGTTGTATTGTTTGACAAACGAGATGACTTCAGCTTTCCATCGTCTACTTTTCTTATTTATGTACATGTAGTAATATTCCACTAACACTTGCTTATGATGTTTTTGTACCCAACTTATTCGCTACTCAAGAGTTTGCTCCGAGTACGATCAATTTTTAAAGCGAGGCAGACTACTCACTAATAAGTTGAGGTTACAGAGATTTCAACAGCCTCGTTTAAAGTCGGTGTTTTGTAAATTTTATGATGGTTATAATGACTTTGATAGCAGATATAATCTACCACTGGGTCGTATTTGGGCTTTCCTATTGTTTGGCCTTTGTTTTTATACTGATTTGACTCCGGCTAGTTCCGTCTGGTAGGCTTCTACCTGATTAATATATAGGGCGGGTGTGACTCGTCAACAGGGGATACTCACTCCTCCTTGGAACCTGATCCAACCTCTAGAATTTCCAGGGGTCCATGTTACATGCCGTCCTCATATTTTGTATTGTTTATGGAATTCTTCTTCCTATCCACAATTTCTCTGAATTAGCATGTTTTGTTTGGATTTGATATTATAAAATATAAATACGATTTTGTGTACTTCAGGAATACATGTGCATAGTTTTGTAAGTTTTGCAAGGTTGAACCGTTCTCACATTTGTCAAATATACATTTTGATATATAACAAGAATAATTATGATTCAAGAAACGAGAAAATGTGCACATTTCCATTTTCTTATTTGGGTTTTTCATTCGATTTCTAGTAGCATGGCAGTAAAATTCGATAAAGACTGACTTAACTGTAACGTAATCTTCACCATAGGACTAATGATGCGGAAAATTTCATTCTAGTTCTTAGACGACCGCAAATTCACTCACTGTATTGACTTATTGGAATCGCATTCAAGATTGCAGTTTTCAATATGGTTTTTGAAGTTACAATTGATTGGACCTTTTAATGGAGACGTCAAATTTCGTCTTCCATTCAATAACCATGAAGCCATTTCCTTTAAAGTTTGATGAAGCGCTTTGAATTTTTTCAGTCAGTCGTCTGCTGCCATTATAACTGTTCACTTCAATATCCAGGGCACAGTCCCCAACTTCCAATATATCTGCTATAGTTATATAATCCCAGTCTTCTGATCTATTTCACGACTAGTTGATTTTACACGCCAAGAATCGTTAAACGTATCCACATAAGGGCTTAACCGTTTGATTGCGGTCGAGCGATGCGCATGGTCATGTTGCTGGACGAGATCAATACGACAGGGTAACAGCTACTTACTTGTCCTTGTTGGGGAGTTTCCTTCTTTAAATGACTCCCCCATCAGATCGCCAGATTGGCATGGGTCGATTTTACTCTTTTGTTGATAGAACGAATGTAATCCTACCATTAGTGTTACAGTAATATTTCATTTATTGAATAGCCTTGGCTTTTATATACAGCATCCTTTCTTCTTGCCGATAAACCCTCCTTCAAAGCAAGTTGGTTTTAGAGAAATTGAGATCTGTTAGGTTTTCAATATATTTTCATTTTCATTTCAGAAACTACGAAGGATAGAGAAAAAAATGGATTAGGAGGGTCGAGATAAAACTCGTCACGATGCGCCCCGCTGTATACGCCAGTGTGGTCCGCAATAGGCACAAATCACGCGGGGATCGCGCCCATCGCATGCAGCCCCACGGCTTCTCCATGAGAAGACTTTTAGCCGTGGTTTTTGTAGGTGCTATACTTCTTGCTCCAGGTTTGACCTTGACCGTCCTTGGCCTAGATGACACACAAGATGAAAATGAACGAGTTGCTCAATCTGAAAGAGTGTGAGTTATTTAAGGAATCACTGTCTAGTTAGTATAGTATGCCAGGGCATCAACAATAGTGGGAAACATGGGATAATTTGCATAACGGGCTTCGCCCGTTATGCATAAATTATCCCATGTTTCGCACTATTGTTGATGTTCCTGGCATACTATACTAACTAGACAGTGATTCCTTATACTTCCATTTTATTGTGAAATAAAATTGTAGATTTAGACTTTAAAAATGTAGATTAATAGATTTAAATTACACGAGGATTCCCATCCCAATTTCAATAGTTCTCGCCCACTGACGTCAAACACAACGGCAACCGCACGAGATTTTCATGCTTATCTGGCCTCCATAGCGTCAGACTCAGAGACAGATGCGCACGAGATTTGCATGCATATTAGGCCTCCTTAGCTCCTGACCTATTGACCTGCCTAATTTACATTCCAGTAGAATTATCAAGAAATTAACTCCGCTAACTTTCAAAGAGTTATCACAGAGAGAAAAATTAGAAATGGAAATATTTACTTTACAATTTTGCCCATACAGTGAATATACCATAGTGCGTTAATCAAGAATTAGAAGCAACAAGTATTGGATATATTCTAACATGGATGATATAGTGTTTCCCCTGTTTTAAATAAAACATGAATTCATATTAAAATATCCTTTCAATATAAAGCGGATTTCTGTTCAATAAATAATATGAGGAAATTAAAAAAAGTATAAGTAAAGGAATTTCAAATACGGTAAAAATATCATATTTACCCCATTTACATTTTTTTTTATTTCCTATCAGAATTCTTTCTTATCTTTATGGAAAACATTAAAGCCGGACTAATTTCAGTTGAACATATACAAGATTCTTTTAATGAGTAAGACTCGGCAAAGTAGTTTCGTTGGAGGAAAAAAACGCATAAATTGATTTAACATGACAAAGATAGTACTGCACTGAATCTGAATAGCATTCGGTTAAAAAAGAGCCAAATATAATCACGTGACTTCCGGAGCATCACTGACTCCTGCACTTCAGTCCTAACTAATAATACTTAATTAAGTTGAAGATACATGGACAGAACATTCATAGTACCCGGGTAATTATCACTCGTAAATGCAAAAATATCAGCATTTTTGAAGTTATCTTGCATTAGATTACAATAGTTATTTTTTTAACAAGGACGATAAAAAATACGAAAGGTTTCATGCTGATGATAGCACATTAGAATGTATAAAGATGGAGCGATATTGGTCCTGGTTACAAGCGAGTTTATATTAGGGCTTAGCATCGCCTCCAGATAAACGGGACCATAACAGATATTCCCTCTTACCATATTAAAGAATCTTGTACAAAACGAATACTGGCAGAATCAATGTAAATCTGTATAGTTATATTTAACGGCCGAATTCTCTGACATTTTATCGGATAAATTGAGTTTCACCCCCGCGTTGATATAATTGATTAAGTTAGTTTTACACGACACAGATCTCTCTGGAATACATTTCTTGTATGTTACTTGTACCTAATGTCTTCTTCTCAGGCTTCAGTTAAAGCTCTAATAACAAAACAATAGGCATTTTTAATGAAAATAAAATATCTGCATGTTACCGTTATTTGGCCAAAACACATATACAGTAAAACTTGCTTAATACGAACACGGATATTTCGAATTCATGGATATAGCGAAGTTAACTTGCTCCAATTCCTCATACTCATATACCGAATTACGGATATAGTGAAGTAATTTCATAGGTCCCAGTGACTTCGTTACCGAGTTTTACTGTATTATTCTTTGAAAGAGTGACGTCTAGAAGCAATGTATATGCAGGTTATTTAGGGCCCTGGTAACGCTATCGCAGGACTTATCATATTTTAGTAGTTTGAATTTATTTTTTATGAAAATCAACTACCCTTCATCAATTCCATTAACATTTAACAATTTTAAAAGGGGGATATTCGGTGTGTACCTGGGTTCTTTTATTAACTCCTTAGGGAACTGCTTTGCAGTTCATGGTGTGTATAATACGAACTCGTAAAATAACTTGATAGGTTTTTAGATGAGATTCAGTAACCAATCTTTTAATGAGTATATATGTTTGATTGATTTCAGCCTTTATAAAGTCCTAGGTCCGATCGCCTGTGCCGTGGGTAGTTTTATTCTGGTGGCGGCCGTGTTCTACTATTTCTGTTACGGACTGGCGGACCAGACCCGCCGACAGAGACACTCCTCATCTGTACGTATTGAACTTTAATATAATCTTAATATACGCCAACACTTTATTTATTGCACGAAATTCTAACTACTCGGATATTTTAGGTAGGAAAGATTTGTAAGAATATCATATTTGTAAGCTTTATTCAAGTGGATATTTCTACAATCTTAACCATGGAAACTTAAAGATCTTCTGATCCATTGATCAATGATGACTTTGTCGACATTGATTATTTAAAAGGAAATTAAACTTATCTCTTTAATTAAGTATTGCACTAAAATGCCCATTGAAACTTAACAAGTATTTTGGGGGCTAAAACGTCTACTAAAATTTTCGCCTTGTGTTCATCAAAACTTTTCACTCCCATGGTTATTTGAAGAAATGTTTTCTCCCTGTTTTTAGATAGATTATGTAAAATTGTTTGGTTTTGAAGCAGATCTATGTCATAAATGGCAACAAAGAGAATACTACAACAGGGGTAAGCAACAACAAAAAAAAAATAAAAAAAATAGGAAGGGGTTTATCAGGTAGCATGCAGGGTTTTGGTTATTGAGATATATATGCATGCTAGTGTATATACTTACATGTTTATGTCATTTGGCTTAAGATTGATTAATGGGGCGCATGCTTCTGGGACAGGATAGTATGTTTATAATCTTTGGAACTTTGTCTTGCCGGGTTGACCATGATTTCTGCATCCATATTAATTGACAACATAAAAACAAGCAGTAAAAAAAAATCCTTGTCCCCTACAATTTGATTTTTTAAAATTAAAAGTGTAGTATATGACAATTTTGAACATTATCATTTCGTATATGCCCATGTTTGCAAGGTTTTAATTAAACAATTTTATAGAAATTTTGAAAAGCACACAATTTTGTTCAAATCAATAGCTTTACAATATGTGACTTTTTAAATTTTTACACAATTATTCCACAAGACAAATCAAAGTCCAGGGTCCCGTTTTATAAAAGAATGTACTACCAAGACCAAAATTTTATTTTGTTTAGAAACTTTTAAATTAAATTAGTTTTAATTTAGAAACTGACAGAATTGTGTCATATTTGGATAATTTATTGAAGAAAAACGTATATGACAAACTCAAAAAAAAAAAAAAAAAAAAAAAAAAAAATTCATGATAAACGTGATGAATTCAACTTTTCTATCGTCAACTCCCGTTATGTTATTTATGTAACAATATACCTCTGAAAAAAGGCGATCTAATAACAAAAGAGTTGATGATACAAGGGTATCAACAGTCTCAATTATTTTCGCAAATTCTATGGTCGATACAATCACATTGCTAGCAAGTGCAATTTTTCGTGAAGTCTAGTGTTGACCGACGTTTTTTTTTTTTTAAATACAAACTGTCATGCCATATGATAGTTTTCACACTGATTTTTTTCTTTTTGCTCTATGAAAATGAAGAGCACTTGTCCATTGCGTTCAGTCGACGGAATGTTCACTCCCACCTCATGTTTGTAGAGGTCCGTGGTCCCTCTGCTTCTGACTTGTATTATTCCAATGGACTATTGTGCTTGATCATTGCTCGTCGTCTTCTTATTTCATTAATCTTATATCATCCCATGTGAAGTATTATAAACAGTGTGGTGTAATATATGGTCCGATGTTTTTTCTGTATAATATTACAAATAGACTTTATATGAGTTAATTTCAGCTACGTATATGGTGTCCTAATTTGGTCTTGGTGTATCTTGCATGAATAAAAATATTACATGTGGGGTACAATATTAATATAATTTTCCTATTCCAATTCCAATATCATGGAGAAATATATTGAAATAGCATAGTGGAGTAGCATTAAATTTGGCCAGAATATTATATTATTTCAGTTTATTAAAGTCCCTCTCATCTCACTGATTTGCTTTAGTGCTTTTCCATGTTTTATGAAATTTGATTATCCCTAACAGTCCTTTCAACAATATAATTTTTATCATTATATTTTCCATTGTCTATTTTTTTTTAACTTTCAAAAAATGTAGATATTGGCATATCATCATCGGACATCCCTGTATTAGGATAATTGAATTCTGGCCTTCAGTATGTGTGTATGTCTGTAAGTGCAGCATCAGTCCATGCCTCACACTTTGATGTTCCGACATACCCGATAAAACAAAAAAAAAATATCTTCAAGCTATGAGTTTGCAATTGTATTGTAATTCATTTGACGTCGACTAATAGCCGTTCAATAGAAACTAAAGAACTGTTGAATTCTTATGAGGCTCAAAAGTATTTAAACTAAATCTATATTGGTTATCTTGAGCTTTTGAGAAGGTGACCTCAGTACAATGTATCTATAAGAAGTGTAGTGCATATGAAACCTACCATCTTCGCTAGCCAAGGCTGTCTGATCCGCTACTCTCCTCACAAACCCGACACGTAAGGACAGTGGCGGATCAGAAAATCTTGGTTAGCGAAGATGGTACCCATCGGAACTCCGGCAGATTGTTGGAAGACTTCATATCCAGAAACTATATATGTACATATTATCAATCAATATTCTCAGTCTTTTAGTATCAACTTCCAAGTTCTTCTAAGTACAATACAATGTTTAACAAAATAATTTTGCAAATCATCAATGACAAGGTTTGAGAATTTACAAGGTCCACTTTTATTGGAAAAACAACCTTCTTCATGTAATGATGTAAAAAAAAAAAAGCCTGGACTTAAATTAAAAATTATTTATCGTGGGAAATAGTTGTAACTATCAAAGTGTCAAAACTTGTACGTTTTGATGATTATTGGTTTTGGTAAAAAAAAGGGTGAAAATTTCTAAAAGTTCCTCTGAGTTTTTAAGTACAAATATCAACATCTGACTTACACCATTTCGCGTATGTATATATGTATATATATATTCAATTCTGTTAGTATTTTAATGAGGGGTTAAGAAAGAGAGTTGGACTTGGTAGCACATTTACAGAAACCCGTTTTGTATCTTTGTTTGTAAGGTTTTTTAGGTAGTTTAGAAATCGAGTTTAAGTACGGTAATTCAAATGCAATTTGATTGTTGGGATAAAAATATGTGGGTGATGCTCGTTCATTTTGGCCGCGGTTTGCGACGATGAACTAACATCAGATTTTGAAGAATTTTCTCCTTAGATACTAGATAGGAAGGTATGAATTGGAATACCAATTGCAGAAAACTCCCAGCTCCTCTGCAATACATTTACTTCAGTATAAATGGTCTAAATGATTATCAACAACAAAATTTTGCAGTCAAAATCAAATACAAGTCATCATGGTGTAACGGCCTACTCCAGTGTCAACAGTGATAGGCCGCAGGAGAACCAGGAGCTTCCGCTTAACTCCTCCAGCAAAAGCAGACGACATTCCTCTCATACGTCACTACAACGTCATCACCATCAGGATAAAGAGGCAGGGTCTGGTCAGGAAAAAACTCAAAGGTAGTAGGATAATACGTTTAAAACTTGTAATCACTTTTCCTTTTTGAAAAATATGTCTAAATAGGACGCTTTGAACTTCTTATTGCTAGACTTGCTGAATCGTTATTTGTGATAATGGAAAATAAATTCGAACTTTTTTTTCACACAGATAAGTATATATTTGCAGGTTTATATTGTCATGACAAAAGAGCCTTTATCTTTGCATAAAGGTTGATGAGGTTTAAGAAGTGTGTAGTGGTTTTAATCATAATTTCAGCGAAAAGTTGTAATTATTTTCTTAGAGGCTTTTCCTTTGCATGAAAAGTAGACGTGTTTTTACCTTGATTCAAAAGTCAACTGAGGTTATTTTTTGCCCTCCTTACAATAAGACAAAAGTTATGGTTTCAAAATGCATCTGGTTGTCATGGAAATATGGGATCTTAATCAAGATATTGAATTGAAAATCAAAAAGTTCAATTAAGACAAATCTCTAAATTTCGGAAAGATTGGACACCAACAAAACCCCATTCCTTTTGACTCTTCTGTATATTTTATTCTATTATCAGTGGGGGTTTGTTTTCCCTCTTTTTGTGAAGTATAATACAAAGCAAAAGCAAGTCTTATTTGCTACAGACTTTCTGAATCTGATCAAAAGAAGATTAGTTTTTAATACACGAACAGCAAACTGATACACGTTATCAGTAAACAGCTTAAAGAGAGTTCTGATTTCAGAAGGCATTCATCACATCTAATGAAGTCGAGAAATTGCAGCAGATTAGTTGCAAATCTTGATTTTCATTGTAACCAGAAAATGAAATAAGCATTCCTCCTGGAAAATTATTAAATTTCGTCCTTTTCTTGGCTAGGTCCCCAGAAGAGATGGAAATCAATGTGGCGACAGCCAACGAGGAAGCAATACATTCTCAGTGGGAGCAGTAGGGTATTCCTGATCATTCGCCATGTAGCAATTGTCTGAAAACAAAACAATCAGAAATTCTCACAGGGATATATTTGTATGAAATTGTCACCTTATTCTCAACGGACGCATTTGGAGAAAAAAGACTCTCGTCTGAAGAAGGATGTTTTTTAAATACTTGAGTAGAAAGTCTACCCAGTGGCCTTGGTAAACAAACTGACCTTCGGTTTAACGAAGTCCTCACATATGAACCAAAGAATATTGGCGTTTTTATAGGACGACATTAATATCCACTTTGTAGAAACATATGTGTATATATTTATACATATATTAAATTTCAACAAAATTTTATTAGGTTTCTTGTAACCTTGCACATATCAGTTTTCTAGGATAAAGCCTAATGGTTTGTATGGGTATTCAGTGTCATTGTAAAATCCTTATTGTCCGATGTAAGCATTTATATGTATATATCTGAAACATTGATACATTGTAATTTGGTACAGGCCCATGTGAAAATACTTATCATGTATCAAAACATAAGTCCGCTGAGGCATATATGTTCATTCTAGATATTTACATGTTTTTTTGTTTCAATATTCACTAGTATCCATTGACAATGTTATATTTTAAAAGTATTAATTTTATTTTATATCCATTCTAGTATTTCAATAACTCTATATCTTGTAAAATTATTTTCCTTCTCTGGCTACTCAGACACGTAATATCAGGAAGGGAGCATCAAGTTATTCACTATTAAAAATAATCATTGAAAGGCTTTTTGTCCCCCCCCCTCATTTATTGTAGTGGTGTAGTCAAAAGAAATTACTGTGGTAATTTATGAAGTTGGTTATGAAAAAAGTTTGAACCTATCCCCCCCCCCCCCTGTCCATCGAATGGAGATTTTTGCAAAGTTGTATTTCCGAGTTCGGAGAATTTCCTAGTTATTTTTTCTGTTTCTTTTCGTGCCCAACCCCTCCTTTAAAAAACGATACTACGTGCCTGCTTCTTCATTAATTCTGTTGCATATCGTTTTTAAAATTTCAAAGTAAAAAATGTAACTGAAAACAGTACAACTACAGCGTTCAATACAACATACAAGAATTTATTTCAAATCTTTACCAATATCATTAAAATATCAAGAATTATTCTCATAATCGTAGTTGTAAATTCTGTGTCAGCAGCCTTCTACTTCAATAAGTGAACGAGACAGATATATACAAGTCCCAGAAACCCATCGTTCTGACAAAAAGATACGGGTTAATTGTAATGCCACATGATGACACTTGTAAATGTCAGGGCCTCCTGAGTTTGATGTTTTGCGTTAGCTCTGTACACTGTAATGCATACCGTCTATTACTTTATTGGTGACAAGGGACCAAGAAGCTCAAGGCGCTAAATGGTGTAACAGGAACGGAGGATCTGAGCTGTCTCCGTACTTTTCATTATGTCGAATTTTTCTTTCCTTTTTTTTGAATTAATATAAAATAATATATGTTAGGAAAAGAAGACCAGCTTGCAAAAAAATTCACAGACTTTTAAACCATAAAAATCATTCAAGATGTGCTTCAAGACACGGGATATCCCGCGCCTCCTTTTATCATAGAATTTTTGTACAAGTGTTACAGAAAGAGCTAATTTCGTATTTTTTTCATGTTTCAATATATTTCAAATATTCCAAAAACATACTACAGTATCAAAAATACTTTTGTAAATAGCACAACAGGGTAAACTTTTCACCTGCAGTTGGATTTTCATGCTCAAATCACCAAGCCATGCACAGCCGCACTGTTCTGTTGCGAAGTGGACTGGCTTTCTCCTTCGTGTAGACAAAGGCGAAAACCTTTTCAATTTTCTAAAAAAATATGTTATTATATTGTGCTTGTTAAATTTTTTTTTATTTTAATTCGATTTTATATATGTCACTTACATACGCCGTTTGCAGGCATTTCGACACAGGGTATTATACTCGATCTCTCGAATTTCGAGGGTTATATACTCGATCTCTCGGATTTCGAGTCTCATATACAAAGTTCATTGTACGACAGAACGAACAAATCTGAGCTTCTGGGAATATACATCAAAACAGTCCCTATTGTTGTGGCAGTAGATTTAATTTTGTTTTATTAAGTTTACTTGTTTTCATACTGCCTTTGTATGTCAAAAAACCCAATATTTTATTGTGAATAAAATTAACACATACCTATGATTGTTGTTTTTTTTTTTGGTTAATTTAGACGTATAACTATAAGGTATGGTAAAATCATACTTAAAAGCAAAAGACAAATATTAAAATTTTCTCAGCACTAAACAATTACATAATGGATAATATGAGTAGTATGTTTCAGCTCTCTTACATTAAATTAGAAGTTGGAACAAAGCAGCAAAAAGGCCAGATCAAGTGACAAATGTCTTGCAAATAAAACTGTACTGTCCATGTGAGTAGGTTGGGGTTACTCAAGAGGGATCAAACATTCTCACCGCAGAATCACAATACATTCAAATCATTGCATGCGCGGATCTAGAGGGGGGGGGGGGGGGTCAGGACCCCCCCCTGGAATTTACCAGGTTAAAAAATGTATATACTAAAAAAGAAAAAAGTTACCATGCCCCCCCCCTGGTAAACGCGAATATGTGTGAAATGGGTATGAATAGTGAAAGAGTTGAGGCAATAAAAGTCAACACTACCCCCCCCCCCCTCCACGAAATAGGTTTTTGACGTTTGGGCGAGTTTAGTGTTTTTTTTTGGTTTTTTTTAAAATCAAAACATTCTTACAAGACTTGCAGACTAAGGTAAGTTGAGTGAGCATTTTTGAAACTCTACTCTCTCTTCCCAGGATTACATATGTCATTCAAATTCACAGGAAATTAACAACAGACCAAACCAAAACTGTTTTTACATCATTACATCAGATTTTATTCCATTATTTACAATATCACAGAAAAAAATATTATACAATGCTAAATTATACCATACATGCAATTAATTTTTCAACATTTCTTCACAATTTTTTCTGGCATACATTTACTTTTATTAAATTCTAAAAAGAAACACAGAGACACATTGTATTTCAAAAGAGTAATTATTTAGTAAAGGTCTCATTACATTGTCTGGGTAGGCTGCACTGATGTGATATAATTCTCTCCAATACATCATTAGCGGTATGACTAAAAAAAATCTTCTTTAAGTTGGTTTATGTAATGATCATGTAATGATCAGACAAGGGCAGAACAAAATACAGTATCATGAACCAAAAGAACTTCTTAAGGGATTTCATAAAGCTTTTCTGCTGAGTAATTGAAATGAGACACCAAGCAACAAAAACTTCGAATAATATGGTAGTGTACAGTTCTGAATGAGCGCTTATGAGGAAACAAGCTAATTCAGAGAACTTATGTCCCCCGCTGAAGGGAAAAAAGAGTAGGATGCTCAGATTTTTCCTTTACATTTCAATGTCAAACTTGGATTCCCTATAGTGGCCCATCCTAACCCCGGGAGTCATATTTAGAATCTACACTAAACCCAGGATGCTTCCTTATAACTTTCAGCTTTTCTGACCCAGTGGTTCTCTAGAAGATTTTTTTATGACCCCATTCTATTTTTGTCTTCACTTGATTAGCCTTCATTTTCTTGATCTTTCATTTTTTTTTAACAATTTAAACTTCCCTTTACCCAAGGATGCTTTGTATAAACTTTGGTTAAAATTAGAAGTTAAAATGGAAAAGTTTAAAAAGAATCAGACAGACAAATGGACTAATAAAATCCATGTTTGCCATGGACTTAACACACTGTATAAAATGTGAAATCTTAAAAGGTCATACGCAATGTTCTTCTCACATTAATGGGTTCTTCCCTGGAGTTGAAGAGTTCCACTAAATGAAGGACCTGTGTGCAATACTTTTAATGTCTATATATGGATTTGTACACCTCTTCTCAAACAAATTTTGATTTTAAAAAATCTGGAATTTATGTTTTGTAATTTTTGTACATTTTTCTTTGAATAATGCGAAAAATTTCATAATTTTATATCTTTTCAAAACCCCTGGTATTACATGCTGATTTTTTGTCTAAGAACATGTAATGGTATTATAAGCTTAAATTTACAATATCTTGAAAAATTATCAGCAGGTAAGGTACCTTGCGTATGTCCTTTACTGTAAACAAACTCAATATAAACTTTCATACTGTAAACTCTATAGAATTTAACTGTAAACGAACTCAATATACACTTTCATATTGTAAACTCTCTTTAAACTATTACACTGTAAACAAACTCAATATACACTATCACACTGTACTGTAAACACATTCACACTCTAAACTCTTAAGAAATCATCATATTGTAAACTCTTTTAAAGTGTATCATACTGTAAACTCGTATAAATATAATGTCATACTGTAAAATCTCTATATCATACTGTAAAAGTCACCAGAGACTATTATACTGTAAACTTTCTGTAGACAATCATACTGTAAACTCTTTATAGCTACATAGAGAGTTCAGTGTTTCCAGCCCACTGCATGGCCATCCACCATTTGCGGCTCCAGGAAACCTCTAAAAGAAGAACCATCTGCTGTCCACCTCGCACCATACCCTGCAGAAACAAAGAAAAACTGTCATAAGAAACAAAAGTTTGATTATATTTACTAAATACCACAGTATATCCCTTTGGATATTATGGAGACCATGTATGTTATGCAGTCATTCTTAAATTTCACTCCTTTCATCAAGAATAATCTCTTTTTTCTAGTGTCCCAAGTGTTTTAGTGTCCCCCACTTTCGCAAAAGCGAGGGAACATTAAATCTCATTTGTCTCTCAGTCTGTCACCAAAACTTTATAACCTTGTTCATAAATTTTTAATGCGAAGAGATAGGGCTTTCATATTTTACAATTACATTACCTGTGACAAGATCTTTCCAAATATAATGAATTTTGACCTATTAACCTTGACCGTGAAGTTTGAATTACTTTTCAATAACTTTAACATTACTTTAAATTGGTCATAACTTTCAAAGAGTAAAAATAGTGCTTTCATATTATACATTTATATTACCTATGACAAGGCCTTTGTAAATATACTATGATTTTTGACCTGTGAATTGACCTTGAAGTTTGATTTACTTTTCAAAAATATCTATCCTTATAACTTTTGAATGAGAAGAGATTGGGCCTTCATGTTTGACATGTGCATTGCCTGTATCAAGATCATTAGCAAGCTATCTTTTTTTAACCCTTGACGTTGACCTTCATTTTGACCTAATTTTCAAAAAATTTAACTTTGGCGATCATTTTTAAATGACATATGATAGGACGTTCAAATTTGACTCAATATGCCATAAATGATGGCATCCAATCACTAAGAATCGGAAAGTGAGGGACCAAAACTCTTTGAATTAGAAATAAATCCTAAAATACTGTGTTTATTTTTCCTGATCACTGAAGTGTATACTATACATTAATTGATTTCCATAATACACAGTAAACTAGTGCAAATCCTGCCAAGAAAAGCCTTTACAAAGAAAGCTTCATCTATATAAACCCAAACTCCCAATATTGACACATGATTTGCAGCATACCCATAAATTGTTTTGTTAATAATGGAATTGATTCACAAAATAACAAATTTATTTCCTCCTAAATTCTCTGATTTCCAATAACTGGTCCGACATAACAATACGCAGTCCCCAAATTCAGATTCCTTGATATACGACCAATACAGGGAGTCATTAGATAGGGAAGAAGGAACCATGAATAATAATAAACTACCCTTAACTGACAAATAAGGTTGATGCTTGTAGTGCATAATTATTATACATAAATCATTCTTCCTTCATGAGTATGAAAGCAACACACGAAAGTGGAGAATAATGACAATAAGAAAATTGAATTTATTTGATGTGCACACAATGGTAAACAAAATTATCTAAGAAAACAAGAGGTGCAAAGGGCTTCACAATCAGCTGACTATCACAAGTTTTTCTAGATATGACTAGCCAAGCTCCATCCAAAGATCCCAAGACTAAATCGTGTGGACATGAATCACAAAATCATGAAAAGTATTTTTTGCTCATTACCAAATGCATGAAGTCTGTTGACTAGATGTGCAAAAGTTAGAGTACAGAAGTCTTTAAAAATTTAGAGCATTTTACAGATTTGATGAAGTTAGCCCCACCTGAATCTTTAACCCTTGACAAGAGGAAATGAAGTTCAGAGTTATATTTAGCAAAAATGTGTTCAATGAGCCAATGTGTTAGGAAGAATTTCAATTATTTTAACAATTATAAAATCAATTTAATTTTACTATGCAGTCTGAAGAAATTTTGACCCAAAAGATGTAAATTTCACTAAATTACTGTGCTATGGGTTTTAGGTTGGGCTAGTTTCAAGGTATGAAGAGACCCACATTTAAGTAAAATTTAAAATTCTTACCTTCCTCCTGCCTGACTTCTAGTATGTACACATCATGCTACAAAAGAAAAGGACTCCAATATTAACTAGTGTCCTCTTATCTTTTCACTATGTGCAGATAAACTTTCAAACAAAATTATACAGACACCTTAACACCAATAATTACAAATACTTACTGGTAACCAGTGAATGTTAATCCAGGTCGCATTGTCTAAAATTTTGTTCACTATTGACAATGCATATTCATTCTTCTGTTTTTCAGCTGAAATGACAAAAAAAAAATCATTGCTTCACCACGAGTTTGTTTATTCAAAACTTTGCTTTAGAACTACATTAATGCACAGAGAGAGAGAGAGAGAAAGAGAGACAACTAGACAGACAGACAGACAGACAGAGGATGACCCACTTCCTGTGCAGCCTCCCCACCATGAGGTTGAATTGTCTCTGTGGTAGTGTTTGGACAGTGCTCTGGCCCCGACACTGATCTCTGCATTGGGACTAAAAGTAAAATAAAAGAGCGGCTCATATAGCTGTACTGTACTAAATGCCGTGAAACATTCACTCTATATTTTTTTGTGTACCCCTTTGTACTGGATTCAAAAGAGACAGAAAAAAATCTCTTTGGAGAAAACTGACTAGACAATTTAAAACAAGGTGAAATTGTTTGTAAGTATGACAGGGTGAAATTATACTTTGCAAAAATAACCCTGCATGTATACAGTAATTCCCAAACTACTGTAGACGTACTTTTTTCCACGGGGTCATAATTCCGTGTAATCTCTATTTCTGTTTAATCCACGGGTAGAAAATTACGCGGATTTTCTAGATTGTCACTAATTACTTTACATTTATATTAAGTACGCTTGGACAAATTTCCGCGGAAAATTTGTGACCGCGTACATAGCGTAAATTAATACCGCGCGGAAAAATGTACTTATACAGTAATTGAGTAACAGTACCTGTGTTTTTCTGTGAAGGATCTTTCCAGGCATTCTCGACTGGCCGGCCAAATTTCCTGAGTGCCCACTGTCTTTCTTACTCCCAATAAATCCAGCATGCCCCTCTTTCCCAGAATCTAAAATAAAGGGTAAGTTTCTATAGTCTATACTTCATTTTCTAATTAATATATTCATGATTTGAACACTTTACTGTATTAATTTTCAAGATTGTACCCACCCCAAAAAAATGTGAAACCTATGGTACACATTTTAGTGAAACCCTAGAGGGGCTTGAATTATCTAAAACAATGGTACACCAATTTACTCAGTTTAAAAAATGAATGTACACTCAATATGTAAATAAAAATATTTCTAGACCAAAAAATAACAATTTTCCATTGGTGCATGAATGGTTATGGGAGGACGATTTAATTTTGAGGGGAATGATGAAGGGGGTGGGTGGGCAGCATTTTAAAATAAACTGTCCTCCACTGACAAAAAAGAAATAAATTGACCTTGATGGAAATATCCCTTTTATCTTGCAAAATAGCGTTCACAAGACCAATGAGTTGCCCTCTTCTCCCTGTTCTCAGTAGAGTTTAAGAGTTTTGAAGTTTGCTCCACATGTATAGACACAAAATAACAAGAGGCCCTTGGGCCACATTGCTCACATGAGCACTGTAGCTTGGAAAAAAGCAGATATCAGTTTATTATTGAAAAGTTTAAACCCAAAAGTGATCTCAACCAATCCTTAAAGTGGAGAAGGTATGATTTAAACAAACTTGAATCTACACTAACTAAGGATGCTTGCATATTTCTTTGACTACCTGTGGCTTTATTGCCCTTTACATCTGAATTTACATTGTGGCCCCACCTACCCCCGGGGGTCATGACTTGAACAAACTTGAATCTACACTACCTGAGAATGCTTCCATATGCATAATTATGACTAATCATGTCTTTGCCATTCTTGAAAAGAAGATTTCAAAAAAAATTTTCTCCATATGTCTATGTAAAACTTGGGATTCCATGTTGTGGCCCGGCCCTACTCCCAGGGGTCATGATTTGAACAAATTAACTTGAATCTACACTACCTAAAGATGCTTCCCTATAAATATGACTAGTCATGGCTTTGCTATTCTTGAGAAGAAGATTTTTATAAAAGAATTTCCCTATATATTTCTATGTAAAACTTTAGGGGTGAAACGATATGCCTCCTTCATGGTTCAATACGTATCGTAAAATTTGGTCTCGGTTCGGTTATTTTCAATACGATACATTTTGATAGAAGGAAACTAATTCAACTGTTGTGTTATGCTTTCTTTTACTTACCAGTAATCTAGTCAAAAAAAGTATGTGCGAAATGGATATAATAAATCAATTTAATTGATTTGACTGTTAAAAATTATTTTACAAACTTAAGTCCACAAAAATTTACGTTTTTGAACTAATTATACAGAAAAGCATGTTTATACCTTATGCCAAACCCGACTGAATGACGATCCTGCACGAAAAACGAACCGAACCGAAAGTAGAGATTTTGTATCATGTATCGAACCGAGAAAAAATACCGCGGTGAACCGTTTCACTCCTATAAAACTTTGATCGGCCATTATGGCCCCACCTTACCCGGAGGGGTCATGATTTGAACAAATCTGAATCTACAATACCTGAGGATGCTTCCATATAAATATGATCATTCATGCCTTTGCTATTCTTGAGAGGAAGATTTTTAAAGAATTTCCCTATATATTTCTATGTAAAACTTTGATCCACCACTGAAGCCCCACCCTACCGCCGGGGATCATGAGTTGAACAAACCTGTATCTACACTAACTGAGGATGCTTCCATATAAATATGATCATTCATGCCTTTGCTATTCTTGAGAAGAAGATTTTTAAAGAATTCACCATATATATTTCTATGTAAAACTTTGATCTGCCATTGTGGCCCCGCCCAACCCACCGGGGTCATGATTTAAACAAACTTCAATCTACACTACCTGAGGAAGCTTCCATATAAATATGATCATTCATGCCTTTGCTATTCTTGAGAAGAAGATTTTTAAAGAATTCACTATATATTTCTATGTAAAACTTTGATCTGACATTGTGGCCCCGCCCAACCCACCGGGGTCATGATTTAAACAAACTTGAATCTACACTACCTGAGGAAGCTTCCATATAAATATGATTTTTCATGCCTTTATTATTCTTGAGAAGAAGATTTTTAAAGAATTTCCCAATATATTTCTATGTAAAGCTTTAACCGGCTATTGTTGTCCCACCCTTAGCCCAGGGGTCATGATTTGAACAAACTTGAATCTACTTTACCTGAGGATGCTTCCCTATAAGTTTCATCTTTCCTGGCATAGTGGTTCTTGAGAAGAAGATTTTAAATCACACCACCAAATTTTCACTATTTCTGAATTAGCTCCCCTTGAATAAGGGTGTGGCCCTTCATTTGAATAAACTTGAATCCCCTTCACCCAAGGATACTTTGTGCCAAGTTTGGTTGAAATTGGCCCAGTGGTTCTTGAGAATAAGATGAAAATGTGACAACAGACAATGGACAAATTTTGATCAGAAAAGCTCACAAGCCGAAAGGTGAGCTAAAAATTGCACTGGGAGTCCCAAATAACATTACCATAAATGAAAAAAATGGACTTATTTAAAACCAATCATATCCTGTCATTTCAGGGAATTTAAGAGATCATCTTTAGAAATGATTGGTGAACTGTTCCATCTAGACATAATCTTATTGACCATGATGTATATCTACAATAGATATTTGTCCTTGGCAAATGTTAAAGAAATTGCTTTTGTCAGGATGTTTCATTGAGAGCTCATTACTGGTTATAGAACTGATTCAAAGCATGACATTATGAACTGATAAATCGTTCCTGAACTTTTCAGACAGTCTTCATAGAACACACACCATAATGATCATTGAAAGAATGGGACTTAATTACTAGTTCAAAATTGGTTTAGACAGAAATCTTAGAATCTACCATTTGTTGGACATATACATCACACATGCCTTAATTTGTTACTATGGCAGCCTTGACAACTTAAAACTGACAGTGAATCTTACTAGAAGTATATCCTTGACCCTGTGTGCTATCTGACAACTTAACACTGACAGTGAAATCTTACTAGAAGTATATCCATGACCCTGTGTGCTTACTATCAAGTAATCTTACTATAAGTACGAGGGGTGATCAAAAAGTTCACGAACTAATTGAATAACTTCCATAAAAGAAATAATATTTAGTTTCAGTGTTGATCATATTTTAAATTATTCCTCTCCAATTTTAATGCAAATCTGCCACCGTTCTGCTCATGCGCGAATCACGTGATATAGGGGGTCAAGTGATCCCCTCCAAAGCATTCTGTCACAAAAGCTGAAAGATTTTTTAGAGTTTTATATTTCTTTCCATGTAAGTTAATTTTTATAACAAGAACAGTTCATTTGTCAGAAATGGTCAAATCTTGGCAGCAGAATGGGTGGATAAGAATATCCTATCCAAAAATAAGCATTGCGACCATCAAAACCCAAATTTTCTGTCTCGGGGGAGACGTTTATTCAAGGTGGATAGAGAATGGGTGCTTCCTTTTTATTATATCTAATATGTTTAAAATCTAAAGTAAACGATATCTTAAGTATTTAATAATTATATTATTGTTGAAATATTCAACTATTTTTCAAAGCGTAAATTGGAGGTATTTGATAACAAACTGCATAATTAAAAACACATCTCTCTTCAAACTTGCTTTTACTGGGCAACATAACAAGTATCATTTTTATCCATCTGCCTTCCTTCACTAAAATGACCAATCCAATCATGGATTGAATTTATAGGTAGTCATTTGTTTTAATAAACTGTGTACAAATTATTATACGCTACTTCAAAGGGATTTCTAAGATATACCATAAATTTTACAGTCGTTTGTTGAACGAGTACGACTGAAACAACCATTTTTCGTCACAAGTGACCTACATAGTGACGTCATTTTCATACTGTGACGTCACAAACAAGTAGCAAAACTTTATTTATGCTATTTATAGAACTTATGTATGGGTATGTGTGTACCACATCTTTTTCTAATCTGAATTGTTGTTTTGTAGATATAGAGATAGTTCGCGAACTTTTTGATCACCCCTCGTATATAATTGACCCTTTATGCTATTTGACAGGTAATCTTACTAGAAGTATATCCTTGACCCTGTGTGCTATTTGACAGGTAATCTTACTAGAAGTATATCCATGACCCTGTGTGATTACTATCAAGTAATCTTACTAGAAGTATATCCTTGACTCTGTGTGCTTACTATCAAGTAATCTTACTTGAAGTACCGTATAAGTGGAAATTTTAGCGAGACGCAAATTTAGCGATTTGTCCTTAAAAACTGGTAATTTATTTTTAGCGAGATGTTATTTTAGCGATTTTTAAATGCACACTAAAGAAGCTATTACAAATAATGCGCAATTAATTTTTAGCGATATTCAATTTTAGCGATCTCGGCACCCTCGCTAAAAATGCCAAAATTAAATCTTCGCTAAAAATTCTACTTATACGGTATATCCTTGACCCTGTGTGCTATTTGTCAGGTAATCTTACTAGAAGTATATCCTTGACTCTGTGTGCTTACTATCAAGTAATCTTACTTGAAGTAGATCCTTGACTCTGTGTGCTATTTGACAATTTAAAACTGACAGGTAATCTTACTTGAAGTATATCCTTGACTCGGTGTGCTATTTGTCAGGTAATCTTACTAGAAGTATATCCTTGACTCTGTGTGCTTACTATCAAGTAATCTTACTTGAAGTATATCCTTGACTCGGTGTGCTATTTGTCAGGTAATCTTACTAGAAGTATATCCTTGACTCTGTGTGATTACTATCAAATAATCTTACTAGAAGTATATCCTTGACTCTGTGTGCTATTTGACAATCTAAAACTGACAGGTAATCTTACTAGAAGTATATCCATGACACTCTGTGCTTACTATCAAGTAATCTTACTAGAAGTATATCCTTGACCCTGTGTGCTTACTATCAAGTAATCTTACTTGAAGTATATCCTTGACTCGGTGTGCTATTTGTCAGGTAATCTTACTAGAAGTATATCCTTGACTCTGTGTGCTATTTGACAATTTAAAACTGACAGGTAATCTTACTAGAAGTATATCCTTGACTCTGTGTACTATACTGACAATTAATCTTACTAGAAGTGTATCCTTGAATCTGTGTGCTAAACTGATAGCTAATCTTACTAGAAGTATATCCTTGACCCTGTGTGCTATTTCCTCCTCACCCCAAAGCTCCCATAGGGTCAGTAGGCCCTCCAACAATGGGGTGATAGTCTTAAAATTGGCCTCTCTGTAAACCACAAAAGAATGGAGTGGTGTAACAGCAAATATATTAATTCACATGATATATGACTGATTTTATATTCATATTTTTTTATTTTATATTTTTATTTAAGCATTGAATTCATATTTTGAGATGTCTTCGGTCCTATAACACACCTGGCCCTGCCGACAAATTGAATACTGCGCCTTGCGCCAGGTGTGTTATAGGACCGAAGACATCCCAAAATATGAATTCAATACTTATATTTACATTCTTTAATTTTTCCTCTTCATAATTGTTTATTTCGGTTATCTTTAATGTGAATTTAGTGCCCTTCAAAACTGGTGTGCTTTATAGACATAAGAGCCGTTTGTGACGTTTGTGACATCGTAATGTTAAATAACGCAAACCATCATTGCGAGGAAAAAAAGTGACAAATTGATTTTTAATGCACATTTGTTGTATTTTTTCGGTTATTCAACAGGTTAATTTTTTTTTATTAAATTGTGTCAAACAGTGTATATTTTGGTGTTCATAAAGTATTGAAAATGCATATAGTTCCTACTGTGTATTCTAATGCGCGGTGACAAGGTTTAGCGCGTGTTATTGAGATTTGAACGTCATGGATTTCTAATGGATTTCATAAAGAAAATTACCATGAATGTAAATATTTGATTTTATACTATTCTATTTAGATGATTGAAGGTTAATCAACTTACCTTGCCTGAGTGTAGGATTTTTCATCCAGAAGATCATATTTTGGTAGATCTAGCACTGGACAATATCTATGAAAAAAATAAAATCTTGCTAGGCTTTGACTGTCTTAATATATAGTCAGTGCTAAGAGAGACATGGTTTACTGGTCATTGACTGTATTACATGTAGTGTATAGTCCATACTAACAAGGACATGATATACTGTGCTTTGACTGTATTAGTGCATTATGCAGTCAGTGCTAGCAAGGACACAATATATATATACTGGTTTTTACTGTATTGGTTAAAACATAATTACTTATTCTCCATCCATAGCTGCAGCATATTGCCTATCTCCCTGTACAGTGGGTAGGAAGGGTATCCAATGATTGTCTCCCTGGGACTGGATGGTTTACTGTCCGTTTCCAGCAATGCTCTGATGTCATTCTCTTCCAGGGCTTTTGTTGTCTCCTTCAACTCGCTCTCCAGTACCTGAACAAAAGTTTCACAGGTAAAGTCAAGCCTTGTAAATCGAGATTCAGGTGTTAACAAGTAAATAATCCTGATTCATGAAACAGCTGGATTCCTAAACCATAGCTTTTACAAATATATTTGGCAAATATAAATATTAATTTTGTTCCCCATAAATTTTCCCCGTAGCATGAAAGGTCCAGATAATTGGCATCCTGATTAGTCCAAGGCTTCATTGAATTACAGAGGGTGCAGAAGTAGGACATTTCTCTGAATTTCCTCAATTCTAGTAGAATTTCATCATATTTGAGATACTTTTCTCTTCAGAAAACATAGAGCCCAAGCTTGCCTATCTGAGATTTTTACACATAAACTGCATCTGATACTAGTTTATAAAATATATAAATTTAGTAGATATGCAAGCTTGTGCTCTTTGTTTTCCAAAACAAAATGTGCTCTAAAATCAATGAAAATTGGCTTAAAAATTCGAAAATTCAAAAATTTTCCTATTTTCTGACCTCAATGTGACCTCTGTGTATTTCAAATCTTACAACCAATACTCATTTTGTGGATTGGGTTGACAACAGGTTTTTATTTTATATAAACTGTTGCATCATTCTGAAAGACACTGTCACAAGTGACATAGTGTCAATGTTCGATATTAGCTTATTGTACAGGTATTGGTGAGAGTTATCTTTATTTGGGCGTTAGGAGTTATCGTTTATTTCATTTACACACTATTGGTCACTGACTTGTACTTGTTGCTATTTTTATCAATGTATACTCGTCGAACCCATTTGATTAGTCTGGTCAGTTATTTATACCGGGTGTTGGCTAGTGTTTGTCAGATGAGGTCTGGACGCCGTGAGTTATACTTTACCCATGCTTAGTGATCTTGGGTGTGCCTCTTATATAACCCATGCTGTGTGAACTTGGGTGTGTACTGTTTCCCCTGCTGTGTGATCTTGGGATTCAGGGATGTTTGTAGCGGCGTTGAGAGCAAGACCTGGGGGCCGACAGTCTGACTTTTATGTATAAAATGCCACAGCTCAGTAAGTTTTTACACTTTACAATATTTTTGTTGTTAGCTTTAAAGATCAATTTTCTAAAACTGTTCGCAATAAAGCGAGAATGTATATATTTACGCTCTAATTCATTTACTTGTTAAATGGAAAAAATACATGTTTTCTTTTGTAGTTTGTTTGTAAAAACTAGTATTTTGAACAGATATGTGTTTTGAATATTTCATTAGAAAACCCTGTGAAAATTGTAGGTGACCAAAATTGTATATTAAGCTTTTGTTCTGGATGGGAGGATTGGTGTACGTGGTGAGGCTACTTTTAGGATATGGTGGACCGAAAGGGACAATAAGGGACAATATGGTGGACCATACATTGCGATGTGGTGTGAAGTGTGAATCTGTCCAGTGATGACCATGATTGAACTTTTGGCCGTTTTCATGTTTATTGTACATATGTAGATAAATTTATTGTTAATTTTTATGAATCTTGTTATTTCTTGGTGAACAGGAGGTCTTCCAAAATATTATTTGTTGCTAATACAAATTTAAAGAACCCATCACAACTTGAGGTCAGTTGTGACAGACACCCAAAATCATGCAGGGGCTAAAAAGGGGTCTTACGCTATCTTGTCCTTTGAATTAATATTACCGAGATGCTTCCATATAAATAAGACATGTAGACAAGCAGAAATCTTTGATCAACCATCATATTCCAATGTAAAACTTTCAATGCCCATTGTGGCCCCACCTTTATACCCAAAGGACTTTGATTTAAATAAACTTGGATCTAAAATACCTGAAGATGTATCCACATACGTTTCATTTTTCTTAGCCTAGCTGCAGATCTGTAGCGTTATGGTTTTATATATTTGTCTTTGACCATAACGCTACAGATTCCGTAAGGCAAAAAAGGTGCAATTTACGGCTCAATATTTTTTTTTTGGCGCTTTTGGGGAGAATTTCTGCACTTTCTAGCATTGGTCAATCAACTATCTTTCACTCCCTAATTCTAGACATATTCTGTAGCCAATATGTATATTTTATTAACCTCCCAACCATTTATAGTTGTCCCTACAGGCAATAAACTCGCTTGAGGTGAATTTTCAGCAATCTAACAAATAATTTTAATCAAGCGAGTTTATCACTTGTAGAGACGACTATAAAGGGTTGGGAGATGGATAAAATATACAAATTAGTTAAATAATGGGCCTAGGATTAGGGAATTAAAGGAAGTTTGTTGACCGATGCTGGAAAGTGGAGAAATTCTCCCCAAAAGTGCGCAAAAAATCTTGCGCCGTAAATTGCACCTTTTTTGCATAGCGTTATGGTCAAAGACAAATATATAAAACCATAACGCTACAGATCTGCAGCTATTTTTAGCCCAGTGATTCTTGAGAAGACTTTTCCAATGCATTTCCATGTAAAATTTTGATCGTTCATTGTGGCCCCACCCTACCCCAGTGGGCAAGTTTCATATTTCTTGGCCCAGTGGTTCTGGAGAAGATGTTTAAAGATTTTCCCTTTGTATTCCTATGTAAAACTTTGATCGTTCATTGTGACCCCATCCTACCCCTGGGGGTCATAATTTCAACAAAATTGAAACTACACTTCCTGAGGATGTTTCCAAATAAGTTTCATCTTTATTTGCCTTAAATTGTGGTTCTGAAGAAGATTTTTAAAGATATTTCTTAATATATAGTTTCCTATGTAAAACTTTAATCATCCATTTTGGCCCCACCCTATACCTGGGGTTATGATTTGAACAAACTTGAATCTACACTACCTGAGGATGCTTCCATAAAAGTTTCATCTTTCTTGACCCAATGGTTCTTGCTGAGAAGAAGATTTTTAAAAGATGCAATTCATTTTCACTAATTCTTAATTATCTCTCTTTGAAAAAAGGCTTGGCCCTTTATTTAAATAAACCTGAATCGTCATTACCCAAAGATACTTTGTAGCAAGTTTGGTTGAAATTAGCTCAGTGGTTCTTGAGAAGTCGAAAATGTGAAAAGTGTACGCACAACACACACAGGCATGACGAAGTGCGAAAACACTAACAGATGGTTATGGGTCACCTAAAAATACATACCATAAGGACATATCTGGATAGTTGAAGCTTTCTTGAGGACATTCTCTTGATCATTTGATATACTCCAAAAAAGATTTTCAACTGGACTTTCCACTTTTGGACTGTATCTGACTAATTGTAGGTCTCCCTCGAACAATCAGCATCACTCACATGCAGGTGAACACGATATGTCTCTCAGATTGTTATTTTATAGCTTACATGATATCATAGCACATATCCTCATAACATTACATCTATTAGAAGTTTCGTAAACTCATGTAACTTTCAGGTGAAATTGAGAAATGTCTGCATGCAAAGAGGGGATAACTCGGGAATAAACAGATAAGGATGAATATTGTGAATATACCATAAAATATCATCAAGCAAATAGAAAATGTAAAGAAAAAATGGACATTTCTTTATTACAAGTTTCATTAAACACTTGTCCGCAAATAAAATAGATCAAGACGTATTTTACAAAATAATCAAAATTACGATCGGGTTCAACATGCGTTCATGATCTACTTTCATTTTAGAAAAAATGACAGACAACCCAGCTGTCAGTACAGTGTTTGAAAAAGTTTCCTTTGTAAGCAAGGTATGGGTTAGATTTATACAGTAGTTTTAAAGCAGTGTCTGTATAATGACCTGTCAAAATATTTTGATTATTATTTAGAATTTGTAAACTTGCTTCAGAGAAGCCTCAAGTAGGTTGGGCACACTCCACCAAATCAGGCAAATGGACTGTTTTCCCCGTTTGGTGCACAGTCTCCCATATCGGTGACGAATTTTACTGACCAAACCGCGGACTCTTTCATTCTATTCCAGTTTTTATTAAAATAAAGCAAAATCGCATTTGCAAAGGCATTGGGGCATTTTAGTGAACATATTCTTTGCACAATTAACATAGTTCGGTCGATTTTCCATGTGCAATTTCTCCGTAACTACTTCGTGAAAACGATACCCATAGTTGTCTATAACAGCCAAACTTCTTGATCAGTCGATCAGAGAAAAAATTGTTGTGACTTGTTGGATAAAAAATTCAATCGCTCTTTGGATTTTGATCAATATTTATCACCATAAAATCCCGTAAAACATGAGCTCCTCATACTGTACTGGTATGTGGCAAGATAACAACAATTAGATCACAACAGTAGGAGGAGTAGTCTTTAGAAGAATTTTACAAATATTTCAATTTTAGTTACCATGGCAACATCATTCATCAAAATCAAGAAACAGTAAAGACAATTATATATCTTAGTGTGGTTTACTTGCATGCTGCATTATATTAAAACCAGACCAAAACTGTAGGAGGAGTAGCATTTTGAAAGTATTTGGTAGAAATTTCTATTTTTAGTTACCATGGCAACACTGTTCATCAAAATCAAACACACAGAATTATGTATCTTAGTATAGTCTACTTTTATATAATGTTATATTAAAATTATTTCAAAACTGAAGGAGGAGTAGCATTTTGAAAGTTTTACACAAAAAAAATTATTTCTAGTAACCATGGCAACACCATTCATTGAAATCAAAATCTGTTACATAGAATTAATGTATTTGACTGTAGTCTACTTGTGTGCCAGATTATATTTAAATTTTGAACCAAGGAGGAGTAGTATTTTGAAAAATTGTTTACAGACAGACAGATGGATAGACGACGGACAGATTACTATCACAAAATTCTCTGTCTGACCTGTAGAGCTAAAAAAAATGTCTACTTGAATTAATATTCAACTTTATAGTTATGTGAACTACCTAAATTAGCTTTAAAAAAATGGTGTTTGCCTTTTCGAAGATGGCAGGAAAGGGAATGTTGAAATGCTGTTTTTCATAAGTAGAATTCTGTTTTTAGATTAGCACTATTTTAAAGGCTACATCAGATGATGAGACAACAATTCCAGGCCATCTTTATACAGAAATAAGCAGTATCCTTTCATATGCGTGCTTATGGGGGGATTCTAGTTATGGAATAAATTCTTAATAAGAATAATTCACTATATGTTTTTCATAATCAGTTTGGGTCTAAATGGGTTGAGATCATTTTTAATTTTGCTTTTTTTCCTGTTTTTATGCTCCACAATGAGTATGGATGGACCAAACAGAGTGTTAATATTACAGTTGCTGCCTCATCTTTCTGTTCATCTATCCCTCCTGATCAATCCATCCATTCATATGTCAATCCAACACACTTTGCATTCAGCTCAGTTTCAAAGAAACTGATATGTTGATCAATCTTCATATGTTTATGCATATTGATGGAAGCTTTTCAATTGCTTTATTGTGTGTAAAACTCATCTTTTTTGTGTTTGCACCTACTGTGATATGGGGCCTCATATATCTTAGATCTGTTATCTCCAATTTAGATTAGTAAATTAAGTTTTTTGGTATTTATAATGAAATAATGATATTTTGTTATGCGTGTGGGTTGTTTTAAGTTTTGAGTAGTAATACCCTCTGTCATGATGTGTCTTGACTCAGTGTTCAGATATCACACTGGAATCTGATGGATATAGCGACTCCATGCTGGAATTTCTGGTGGACAGACTCAACAAAAATTCCTGTCATGTTAAACTAAAGGTATTGTAGTTATCCATGCCTTCCTTTAACTAATATCCATCCATGGGAGGTTCTTGTTTTTACAGTGTAAATATTTTTTGTCCTAGCTGGTGAAATTGATGAAAAAGTACACATTTTGTCACATGGAAATCCTAGCTAGATTTAAGCTTTTTTTTTCAGAGTGTAAATATTTCTTATCTTATATAGGTGATGAAATTGATGAAATACATCCTGTCACATGGAAATCCTAGATTTAAGCTAGGGTTGATGAAGTGTTCTCAAGGAATAACCGAAGCTAAAAGTAAGTATTAAGAAGTTAAAAACCTGTAGAATTATATGATCAGTCAGAGTATAATCTTCACAGGACAAGCATGACAAGTGAGAAAGGAGGATGTTCATTTAAACATTAGACTGATTTATAATAATAATGTGAGAAAGGAGGATGTTCAATTTAAACAAGACTGATTTATAATAATAATGAGGATATAACTAATAGAAAAAAATAGAGGCTGTAAAGGATTACAAAGTTTCCTTTTCTGATTTATAACTTTTTTCCTTAAAGAATACAGTGGACCTCCAGACCCACTGCATGGGAATGTCCCATACCTTGCTGTTAGAAAAACTGCTAAGGTAATATCTTAACAATACTTTGTCAGGAAACTAGAAAAATAACATAGTACCCGCTAGATAGAAATTAAAAGGTAAATATCCCATTTGGTATTACTTATTGAGAGACAACTGTTTCTAAATTTAAAAAAAACAGTCTTATACATTTCATATACACTGTACCTATAATGTTTTGTCTGAAGTTTTTCATGAACACCAAGTTTTGTAGTTTTCGTGGTGAAGACAGACCGTGAAATAAGGTGGTCAAAAAAAGCTTTAAAATTTACAAATGTTAGTACAAGATGATAGTTATTCATGAATTTACATTTGATTTATGACACCAAAATTTAAAAATTATTCCAATGAAAAATTATTTGAAACCACAAAACTTTTCCATCAGTAAAACTGCCACCTATATTTCATATCTTCCTGTCAGAAAAAGAACAAAGGTGAAGAGTATACATACTTTCCATCATTAAAATTATAAATCACTAACAAATCCAGTCTCAAGCAGTTTTTTTATGACCCGGATCAAAAGATCCTGGGATACATATATTGTTTTTGTCCTGTCTGTTTGTCTGTCAGTCTGTTGTCAACTTTAACCTAGCTCATAACTATGGCACTGTCAAGGGTAAGTGTATACCACTTCAGTCTATGTCCCACTCCAGAATTGTTCACCATTGGGGGCATAGTGTTTCACAAGCATATCTTTTTATGCCCCCTTCAAAAAAGGGAGGGCATATTGCTTTGCTGCTGTCTGTTGGTCTGTTGGTCGGTCCACCATCAATTTCATTTTCCTCGCAGAGGTTGCAGTGCATGTATTAACATGAAATTTGGTATAAAGATTTATAATAAGAATATCTAGGTCAAGATCTGTTTAGGGTACAATGGAACCATTTTGGATAGAGTTATGCCCCTTGGACTTGGAAAAATTCCAATTATTTGCAGTTTCTGTTCATTTTCTTTGCAGGCCCAAGGAAAAATTCCAATTATTTGTGGGAGGGGGCATAAGTGTTTTACAAACATCTCGTTTTTGTTGTATTTTACTAATATATCCTACATCTCTTGACAGGAATTGCTGGAGGCACTCTTTGATACAGAAGACTTGCCAAGTACACGTGCACCAGTATCAGCATCCTCAGGTAAATTTATTGTCAAATAATTTTTAATGCTGATTTTTTTTGCCAAAAGAAAATTTATCCTATTTTGTGCAGTTAATTTCTATAAATTATAAATTCAGGTTATGGGAACCAGGGAGCACCTAAATCAAAGATGGAAGGATTTGGAAATTCACCTTCACCCCAAAAAGGTATAAATATTTAGGATAAAAGCATTACTGTGTCTGCACATTCAATTTTTATAGTTCTTGTGCATACTTTTTTTCTATCTATTTGTTTTTGAATTTGTGTCAAAGAAATATTATAGTAATGTCAACAATCTGTGATTTTTTGATTGCTTTTTATGTTTTAATCAAATTTTCAAAAATAGGATATATTTGTTGTCTTCTTTCAAGTGTACATGGCTTATAAATGGAAACAAATCAAAAACAGATAGTTAGCAGAAATTTGTACAACAGAAACTTGTCCACTATACTGTAACACCAGTTGCATATAATATCTACTTTTAAAGATAAATACTGAAAGTAATACATGTAAAAGCTTTATACTTAGTTATTCAGTTTAAGACAGCTGTATCACATTTTAGCTGGCTTAGGGAAGTCCTTCCTACAGAACATCAGTGAGTTTGCTCAGCACCTGACAGAGGAGCCAGAGAACCCCCAGAGAGCAGTGTTATCCTCCCTGGAGACCCCGGGGACTTATAAACCCCCGGAAGACCACTCCTTCAGCCTCCCCCCAGACAGCAGCGAGGGGATACAACCCTCCACAAGAAGGAAAGGTCAGACAGTGATAATGGATATTGTAATAGTCAAATAATATAAGTTGTTCAATAGACCAGTTGTCTCCCCAATACCTTTGTTTGACAGACATCAAACTTTGTGCTCTGGTTCTTCTTAGAGATAAAATAAATAACCCCTGTGGATTTTTTTTTTATAACAAGGTCAAAGGTCAAGTATTAAACAAACTACTGTAGACAGAGAAAGATGTTTTCTGCTTAATATTTATGCCACCCTTCGAAGAAGGGAGGGCACATTGCTTTGCTGCTGCCTGTCGGTTGGTCTGTCTGTCGGTCCACTTAGTTTTCGTTCATTTTCTTCACAACCTTTGCACATACTGAAATGAAATTTGGTATGCAGATTTATCAGATAAATATCTAGGTCAATTTCTGTTTTAGTTACAATCGCGCGCCATTTTTGACACAGTTATGCCCCTTGGACTTAGAAAAATTCCAATTATTTGCTGTTTCCGTTCATTTTCTTCGCAGAGGTTGCATATACTGAAATGAAATTTAGTATACAGAATTATCAGATGAATATCTAGATCAAGTTATATTTTAGATATGATCGCACCATTTTTGACATATTTATGCCCCTTGGACTTGGAAAAATTCCAATTTGGGAGAGGGGGGATGTGTTTTACAAACATCTCTTGTTTGAGAATACTTTGCTTGCAGGATATCAAACTTGGTACATTGGTTCCATTTAAGTAGTACATTTCCCCCCACCCCCCACCCAATTAATTTTTTTAGGGTTAAAAGATCAAGGGTCAAACTGGACATAGAGATATATTGATTATTCAATATAATATATCTTTAATAGAACCCTTTAAAATCTTAATGGGGATCACAAAAGGATGAATGTACTGTTAATAACAAGTTGAAATTCTGTTGCAGATATACAAAGATAACTGAATCTCTATTAATTTAATCATCTCTTTGTATTGTTATAATATAGAGGTGGTTCACGTCCCTGGTAAGGCAGGAGGAGGCTGGGATGATGATGATGACGATGACAATGAAAATGTTAATGGTAACTCATCATCAGACAGACACAGTGGATCAAATGCTGACAGTTGCTCAAGGCAAGCAAAATTAACAAACCAAATTATAATGAAATTTACTTGGTAAATAAATAAGATCAGTGATTCACAAATGGTTAAATATCAGGTACCTGGTAAAATTTTATAGAACCCAAGTTTTAAAAATAATTTGTTTACAATTCTGTCACAATGTCATGTGAAGGATGATGAGATAATCGATCAGACACTCTAACTCCAGACTAGAGAGTGGAAATGTGGAGGACTGGAGCACAGAGGAAACTCTGGTGACGTCAACGGTTGCTACCGGTAACAGTCGTCTGCTGACAAATGCCCAGATTGCAGAGTTCATCAAGTCATGCCAGGCGTGTAACTGTGATAAAGTATTGGAGCTTGTGTCCCAGAGTCTAGAATCAACAGATGGCCACCTTCTGATGGTAGATATAAATAATATTTGACTGTGGTAAAGAAAATATTAAAGGAAGAATATATTTAAGAATTAAATACGTGTCTGTTTTCTTATCATCTTTAATCCAGCAAGCCAACAAATTTCCTCAGCCATCACATATTTACAAGCTTTCTTGGTGTACACTTGATGGAGCTAATTGTTGAGATTTATTATTTATTGAATGATATATGCCCATTTTTCTTTAAAAATAAAAATATTTTCCTGATTTCCAGAGAGCCTTGCTTTTGGTGGAAAACTTTCTAAGAACAGATATATATGGTATAGATCAGATCTCTACTGTATGTGGCAAGCACCTGTTGACGATATCAGAGAGAACCAGTAGCCCAGAGACTTCCAAGTCTAGAAAAGTAGGAACATAACCTGAATTTTATTTTGATAATTTGTAAACAAAGAGTTATTTTCAAAAATAAATTACATAACCAGAAGTCTCTGTTGAGACTGAAGCTCTACTGGTTTGTTCTTATAACAAATGAAGAGAAAAGTAGCAGTTGGGACTTGAAACTTTACAACAGCAATAAATAGAATAATGATGCTTGATTGAGCTCTTTTTGTGGCAAGATATTGCAATAAGACTACAGCTGTAGGAGTAGTTTTTAATAGACTTTTACAGTATTTTCAATTTTAGTAACCGTGCAACATCGTTCATTGAAATCAAAAACCGATACACAGAATAATATATATTAGTGTAGTCTCCTTGTGTGCCAAGTTATATTGAAATCAGACTAAAACTGTAGGAGGAGTAGTATGCATTTTGAAAGTATTTCACAGAAATTTCTATTTTTAGTAACCAAGGCAACACCGTTCAATGGCGTTCATCGAAATAAATACACAGAATCTTAATGTAGTCTACTTGTGTGCCAAGATATATTGAAATCATACCAGAACTGTAGGAGGAGTAGCATTTTGAAAGTATTTCACAGAAATTTCTATTTTTAGTAACCATGGCAACACCTTTCATCGAAATCAAAAACTGATAAATAGAATTATGTATCTTATTGTAGTCTACTTGTGTGCCAAGTTATATTGAAATCGGACTAAAACTGTAGGAGGAGTAGCATTTTGAAAATATTTCACAGAAAAATGTCTATTTTTAGCAACCACGGCTATAGCGTTCATCAAAATCAAAAACTGATACAATGAATTATGTATCTTAGTGTTGTCTACTTGTGTGCCAAGTTATATTATAATCAGACCAAAACTGTAGGAGTAGCATTTTGAAAAATTGTTTACAGACAAACAGACGGACGGACGCTGGAGGCATTACTATCGCAAAAGCTCTTTTGGTCTCTGACCAGTAGAGCTAAAAATATACCTTTAAGCTCACCTCAGCTGACAGCAAAATCAAGGGAAGCTTGTCCTTTACCATTGACACCCTAGGATGAAGTTTTTATCAGCAGTTTTCTTTCAAAGTAAATTGTTGGCCGTATTTTCATCAGGCATACATGGAAAATGCATCTAGTATGTTTAAGTGCATCAGTCAAATTTCAGATGTTGCATTTTTAACCAATATATTCCCCAAGAATGACCAGTTTAATGTTTTCGGAAATGTTAAAATATAAACCAGACTTTCATAGAATTTATATCTTTTGATGCACAAAAGAAAGAATCTGAATTGATTTCAATTACAAATAGCTAATATTTTGCTGAGGATAGCTTTCTAACTTTTGATTACCTATATGTTCAAACACTGAATTGCCTAAAATTTTATACTTATTTTAAAGTGAAACTAATGCAACAAAGATTGATTTTCTGAGATTTGACACATATCCTTTTGAGTACTCAAATTTTAACTTTCCTTGTACTGTCATATTTGTATTTTCTACTTCAGATCATAAGGATATTGGAGAAGCTAGGATCTTCACCTTCATCAAAGGACAGAGAATCTGATTTAACCACATAACAAAGTACAAATACCAGTAACTGCCTTCATGTCCTCATTCCTCATATGAAAAGCACGACAAGCATGTAAGACATAAATACAATGTGATACAGCATCATAACAGTCACTCAACAAATCATCCAAATACAGTGTAGTGTCGTAATGAACCCAGCAGACCCCAGAAACAGCATTCAGTGCTGCACAAGTAGTCATCAGTTCAAATGGATTGACAATATTCTACAGAGCCAATCCAAAATACATTTTTTATGTATGAAAAAGTAAAATTATGTCTAGCTTTATCTGATTTATATATAAAATCTAAAAATTAATGTCTTTTGATTTATTGTAATACTGCATGAATACATGTACATGTATTTAATAAATTGATACAGAAAAACAGAAGAAGTTTCTCCCATTACCAACCTGTGATTGTCTCATTCATTCAAAATTAAAAACCAAAAGATTTTGGCTTGTACTTAATGTATTCTATACATAGTAATATACATAATAAAATACTATAAATAAATGAACTTGTTATCATTTAAGCAATCATTTCATTAACAATCATTATACTCAACAAAAGATCAACTCTATCACAGATTTAATCATCGAAAACATTGTTGTCTTTAACTCTTCCTGATGATCAACATCAATCAACCTAATGACTGTCAATGATTCTGTAAATTTGTGCCATCAATCATGTTACTATTTCCAGTCACTAACAGGTACACTGATTAGTAAATGTGAGTGGTCCTTCAAAGGTCATTCCAAGGTCCCGCAGCAGACGATAATCACCAGACAGACAGCCCTCCGTCCAGTACGACGTGTTGTCCTGACGTCATGGCACTCTTGTCACTCAATAAAAACAGAACTGTGTTTACCACATCCTCAACCTCTGTAAAAATGTAAACACCAAGATAAATATGCAGAGACTTATCAAGAAAACTTAAAAACACCTAGTCTCATTCAACCAGACACTCGGCTGTCTCCGTAAATCTCCGACCAGCCAGACCTGCTTGTCGGAGTTTACGGAGACAGCCGAGCGTCTGGTTGAACAAGACTAAAAAACACCTGGATAAATATATGGTGACTTGTCCAAAAAAACATTTAAACACCTAGATGGAGAGTACACATACAGTACTGTATATGTACTTAAACAAGAGGCCCTTGGGCCACATTGCACACCTGAGAAGCTTTGACCATGCTATTCTTAACCAGATTTCCCCATTGTAATACCTACTGTGACCCCATCTTACCCCACAATTTAGAATCTACACTACCCGAGGATGCTTCCACATAAGTTTCAGCTTTTCTGGCCCAGTGGTTCTTGAGAAGAAGATTTTAAGAGATTTTTCCTATATATTTCTATGTAAAACTTTCATTCTCTATTGTGGCCCCACCCAATCCCAGAGGTCATGATTTGAACAATTTAGAATCTACACTACCCCAGGATGCTTCCACATAAGTTTCAGCTTTTCTGGCCCAGTGGTTCTTGAGAAGAAAATTTTTAAAGATTTTTCCTATATATTTTTATGTAAAACTTTGATTCCCTATTGTGGCCCCACCCAACCCCCAGGGGTCATGATTTGAACAATTTAAAATCTACACTACCCCAGGACGCTTCCACATAAGTTTCAGCTTTTCTGGCCCAGTGTTTCTTGAGAAGAAGATTTTTAAAGATTTTTCCTATATATTTCTATGTAAAACTTTGATTCCCTATTGTGGCCCCGCCCAACCCCCAGGGGTCACAATTTGAATAATTTAGAATCTACACTACTCCTGGATGCATCCACATAAGTTTCAGCTTTTCTGGCCCAGTGGTTCTTGAGAAGAAGATATTTAAAGATTTTTCCTATATATTTCTATGTAAAACTTTGATTCCCTATTGTGGCCCCGCCCAACCCCCGGGGATCATGATTTGAACAATTTAGAATCTACACTACCCCAGGATACTTCCACATAAGTTTCAGCTTTTCTGACCCAGTGGTTCTTGAGAAGAAGATTTTTCAATGTCCCACCCTATTTGTGTCTTTTCTTAATTATCTCCCCTTGTGAGAGGACCTGGCCCTTCATTTAAAGAATTAAATTCCCCTTCACCCAAGGATGCTTTGTACTAAGTTTGGTTAAAATTGCCCCAGTGGTTCTTGAGAAGAAGTCGAAAATGTGAAAAGTTTACAGACGGACAGACAGCTAGACGGACGGACGACGGACAAAATGTGATCAAAAAAGCTCAATTGAGCCTTCGGCTCAGGTGAGCTAAAAAGCAAGCTTTTACATTTTAGCAGCTTTGGCACAGACAAGGATGTGCTATTTCATGAAAACAGGAAGAAATCATAAATTACTACAATGCACAGCAGGACATGTGTAGTGTTTCTTTATTATTGAGCCAACAACTGCATACCTTGTTATTGCACTAAATGTTGAATATGCCAATTTATGAACAAATAAATTATTTCTTGAACAAGTTTACTAATGGTGTCAAAAGGACCTTCAAACAGTTTTATCAAGAAAACATATGTACAATGTATACAGTATAAAAGTAGTGAAACATTTGGCCAACATGATGTCATTGGTGTTAAAATGTGCTTTAATCAGACTTATCAAGAAAAGGGCTCAATTTTCTGCTTCTTTATTAAAATACATAAACTTCATCCTCCAAACATCAGGGATCCTGAGTTTGAGCTTCAAACAGCAACGTGTTGACTCAGGACCTCTGACGTTGTGAGGATACATAAACTTTTGATAAAACAGATTTATTCTATTCAACTGAGTAAATAGAGCAAGTATTTTCAGTAAATACTCTCAAACAATATGAATGTGTCAATGTATGAATTTATTGATGTACAGATGATTTCTACATAAACTTTGAATCAATATATGCATTTCAGATATTCTTTACCTACAAACTTTCCCATTGGGATTTTGTCTAACATGGGTCCAGATTTGGCTGGGTCACTCCAGGCATACTCTGCCATATCAGTCCAGGTAACCGTAGGGTTCACACTATTCACCCGGATCTAAAACACAACAAACACAATCTCAAAATCCCTCATGCTTTCTTTTATATATACTGGTATAGGAATCTGGTGATGTACCTACATTTACTTTTATTACCATAATTCTTTTTCCATATACAGTGAAACTTGTCTAATCCAGATGTTATGTAACCCAGAATCTTGTCTAATACGATTTAAAGATTGAAGTCCCGTTGCAATGCAATGGTTTTAAATGTTTTCTAATCCGGAATGTTGCCATATCCGGCCAATTTCTTTTGAACCAATGATGTCTGTATAAGACACTTTTACTGTAGTGAAAAAATTAATAAAAATGTCAAAATTACTATGTTACCTTGTGCTTTCCCAGCTCCAGGGCCATCACTTTAGTCATGGAATCCACTGCGGCCTTACTGGAGCAGTAGGCAATGTGATCATCAAGGGCTCGACTAGATGCCACACTGGAAACATTGACTATGGAGCCACCTTGTTCTCTTTCTACCATACCCTTAGCTACTACCTGTACAGAAGTAGTAAATAAACATATACGAGGGCTGTTCGGAAATTATTGAGATATTGTGTTTATATTTCTTTCTAATGAACGTCTTTCAGTAAAAATTCGCATATTCGTTTGACAAACACTAAGAATTCATAAAAGCAAAACATATTTTACAAATATTAAATTTTTTATCTTCAATGGTCGATAAATATGTCAATGGTATAGGGGTATCCGGAGCAGTCACGAAATCAGATATTGAAAATATGTAACAACAACGTTCAAACCCACGGTGGACCCATAATAAAGGCGATAAGAATTCAATTTATGTTTATAATTTTTCAATTTTATTTTAACTGCATGTTGTTTAAGTTTGTTGGAAATCTGATCAGAAATACGGAGATCATTAAAAAATTAGGCACAATAAAGAATTCTGATAACGACAAAAAAATGGAATTTGACGTCAAGGCGGAGCAGCGAGAGACTTAAAATTCTGTGTATCACTGTTCTAAAACTCTTTTCCAGACTGACCAATCTGATAAAACAATAACAATAAGACTGCAAAACATGTTTTTAGAGGGTTGTTATTTCATTGGTTTATATTTTTTCTGACCAATGATTCAACCACAGTAAAATAAAAAGCTCCGGACGACTATCAATTTTGACCTAACAGAATCAATAACGTTGACCCGTGTTGCGTAAATCGGCACTGCATGAGGCAAAGTCATCCTGCATTTATGACAAATAAAAAGTTTACACTAATTAAGCAACAGCACATATATTTTTTAAAAAATCATTTAAGAATTAAGATATAAAGTTTGATTTTTGTAATATTATATATGATAACGAAGAAAAAAAAGTAAATGCTTCCTGATCGTTTCACATGCCAAAACATCTCGCTGACGTGACGTTAACACAACATAGCGATGCTGCTCCAGGTCGATAAACATATGCATGTTTATAATTTCACCAGAACTCATCTAATTATCCTATGAAATAGAAATTTTGCATATCTGTTTTATTCTTTCTTTCTAAAATGTTGACGAATTTTCCTTAATTTATCCCTGCTCTTTATAGAGTTACAAAATGTCTCAATAATTTCCGAACAGCCCTCGTAACTCTTCTGATCAAAGTGGACCATTCCTTTAGTCTAAGTATACAAAAGTCATCAAGCAATCAATTGTGCTTGAGTAAATAACAAGAGGCCCACGGGCCTTATAGCTCACCTGAGTATCACGAAACAACTTTTATACTTAATTCAATACCCGGGAGCAGAGAAGAAGATTTTCAAAGAAATAATGCTTTTTCACTATATAATCTATATAGCCCCACCCTAGCACCTAAGAACCCCTGACCCCGGGGCCATGAATTTCACAATTTTGGTAGAGGACTCAATGCTGATTACAATCATGCAAACAGTTTGACTGCTTGATGTCCAAGAGTAAAGAAGAAGAATTTTAAAGATTGTATTAATTTTAGTGGTTTTGGCCCCAACCCTCAGGCCCCAGGAGGGCAGGGACCATGAAATTCACAAATTTGAAAGAGGCAGCATTATTCAACATAACTATGTATTTGGCTTGTTTCTTAAATACCCAGAAGTAGAGAAGAATATTTTCAAAGAAATAATGTATTTTAACTGTATAATCTATATAGCCTAACCCTAGCACCTAAGAACCCCTGACCCCAGGGCCATGAAATTCACAATTTTGGAAGAGGCGGCCTTATTCAACAAAACTATGTACTTGGTTCGTTTATCTGATGCCCAGGAGCAGAGAAGAAGATTTTCAAAGAAATAATGCTTTTTCACTATATAATCTATATAGCCCCACCCTAGCACCTAAGAACCCCTGACCCCGGGGCCATGAATTTCACAATTTTAGTAGAGGACTCAATGCTGATTACAATCATGCAAACAGTTTGACTGCTTGATGTCCAGGAGTAAAGAAGAAGAATTTTAAAGATTGTATTAATTTTAGTTGTTTTGGCCCCACCCCTCAGGCCCCAGGGGGGCAGGTACCATGAAATTCAAAGTTTTTGTTCCCCTTCACCCATAGATGCTTTATGCCAAATTTGGTTGAAATTGGTTGAGCGGTTTCAGAGAAGAAGCTGAAAATGTTCAAATGTTAATACACGACGCACGACGGACGATGCACGACGACGGACGAAAACGGATAGCAATAGGTCACCTGAGTTTACTCAGGTGACCTAAAAATGTACTGCAAATCTAAGGATATAACAGGGTATATATATCAATATTATTTTATCAATTACAAATTGTTAGATTTTTTTTTTAATTTGAAATTAAAGAAAAGGACATTTACCTGAGAAATGTTAAACAATGCCTTTGTGTTAACATTATAAACACTGGAAATAAAATAAAAATGGTTTCATATATTTCTTAACAAAATTAAAATTAGTGTCTGTGGAAATATTGTATGTGTAATATTTCTCCCATTTTATTTTTGCCCTAACAAATTTGTAGATGATTTCATCCCCTCTTGAAAAACTGTTGAAAGTGATTGTTCTGTCTCTTTTGAATTTGCCCCTTTTGACAACAAGGGCAAAATACACAAAAGTAAAATGCAAATTGAAATAACTTGACAAGACATTGTAAGTGATAGTTCATGCACATGTCAAGAGTATATTTCATTGAGATACATGTATGTAATTGTAAACTATTAATGATAAATCCCAAATTAAGTTTAGTTTGTTTTATATGAAAGCAATACAACCTTTTAAAAAACAAAAATACAAAAAATCAACAAACCAACAATTGATAATACAGGTAAGCTTAACGTAGGTCGCGGGGTTGCTGACGTCATTAAAACTGGGTACGCAATTTATATGATTTGGGCGACTTTCTTGTGCACATCTGATTATGACGTCACGGTGAGAAAGGGAAAATTTCATTACATTATCTAGCTATAACTTTTGTTGAAATTGATAGTTTAGTGTAACATATTCATAGAACATGCTGAGTTATAAAAATAATGAAGGCTTATTTTGATTCGATGAAATTGTACTGAGTGTAACATATTCATAGAACAAATCATCATAAAGTGTTAGAAGCGTTTCATTACGTATATAATCGCATCTTCTCGGGTCTATTAGAGCACATGTACTTGTATCGGAAATAAATTTTAACCCTTGTATCATGTATGATTTATAAATATTAAATACCGGTGTTGTAGATTTTTTTTTTTCCCCCCGGAAAACTTATATAGAAATTAAAGAATTTTCCCCCAGGGGTTTCCCCCACGTTTTTGGTTTATTTTTGAAAATTGTTTATGGAAAGCTGATTAGGCTTTAAATCGATGTTTTGAAATGTTAAATTTATGTACATACATTAATGCCTTTGTGTTTATCACATTCATAAACTTGGACTATATTTAAAACTTAAATTATACAACGTACAAATATATTTAATAAAAATGCTATGTTTGTCATATATTTCGTGTTGGTGATAATCAAAATTAAAATTAGAATGGTCTGTGGAAATATTGTATGTGTATATATTTCTCTTTCCCATATTTTTTCCCGGGGGGATTTATATAGCCATGTTTCCGGGGGGAAGATGGCTAACTAAATTTATTAAATGTATAATTTTAAAACAGGTTATCTAACTCCGATTTCATCCCCTCTTCACTCATTTTATTGACAAAAATGCACTGTTTATTAGAAAGTGCATGTCTTTGTTTTCATTTATCTCCGTAAACAGCGTCAAAACTTTGAAAGTCGACCTCAATTATGAAACGATATGTGCTAATCTCAGACAAATCTATATATAAAGGTTGATCACAAATTAAAACTGCTAAGGCACCTCCGGGCCAATCTTAATGAAACATAAACTAGATTATATATAATATATATTCTTTTTTTTTGAACGGCATTGACCTCTTGTAAATAACCACAGGCACGTAGGACATGACCCCCTATTTTTTACTTCCCAACGCCATGTGATGAGTAAATTTTTCATTTTTTTTTAATTTTAACTCCTGTATATATGTGCAAGTTGATTTAATCGAAATATTTACTAATCGGAGGCAAATAAAGAATTATATAAATGGAAATCAAAAGGAAAAAGAGTGTTTTTCAAATTTATCACTGTCTGCAATTCCATGATTCTCTACGCTTTATAGATACTGCTGATGCAAGTGAAGATTGTGAGGCAGACGTTAACAAAGGAAAGGGGGGTCGAAATAACTTGTTGCTACATAGACATTGTAAATGTTATATGTTTACAATGAAAGTCTAAGAACAAAATAAAATCTGCCTGTTTATTGTGCCAAATAAAATTAATGTATAAATTATCGTCCCATTTACCCCTCTAAATTCCTTTTAAGTACATGTATATTAAGCATAAAATAAAATCAAATTAAGATTTATTTTAGCTATATTTCAAACAAAAACATTTTCAATATAAACACTGAGATACATGTATGTAATTGTAAACTATTTTCTAATGATAAATCCAACAAATTAAGTTTAGTTTGTTTTATCTTGAAATAAACAATACAACCTTTTAAAAAACAAAAATATGAATAAAAAGAAACGGTAGAAATAAACATAAAGAAAATAAAAAAAAAGAAACTAAAGGACTGATTGTTGGTTTACGCCGTTTACGTGAATTTTCACTAAAATTAGACATAATAAACTGATTCAAGGGAAAAATGTCTAATAGTTATTTTATTGAATTATTGATATGATACTGGTCATTTGAAAGCAGATATACATGAATTTCTTTTTTTTAAAATCCGTATAATTTTTTTGTGCTCTGTATACCGGGTTGATATTCACGACGTCAAGCGTGACGTCGCGATATTTTATGACGTTGTTCTTAAAATGCTACATTTGTCAATATAAAAGCAATTATCTACAATTTAATTACGAAAAAATGAACCCGAAGACATATTAATTTTTTTACATAGATTTATATCAAATCAATTCTACTTTTAAATACCAAAGGATAAACAAATTCGTCTGCACGATTTAAAAGTTATTGATATTTTTTAAATCAAAACCTTGCCTGAAAACAAGCCAAAAACGACGTTTTCCCTATACAATTCAATAGAATACCCTTGAAAATGTAACTACAAGAATGACATCTTTGGAATTCAATTAAACAAAAACGGTGCAGACGAATTTTATGAAATTTTCAGAGAATGGAAATCAAAGGTAGAGAAATCATATAGGTAAATTTCATGGTATGTTTTCGAACACTTTTAAAAGCCCTGTAAACCCGCGACCTACGTTAAAAAAAATTGATCTAGATACTTGATATAAATAGTTCATCATTGTACTTACTCCTCAAAATCTTTCATGGAGAAATCCAGGAAGTTTCCTATTCGTGAGATGCCGGCGTTGTTGACCAGGAGATGGATTGGACCAAGGTCAAGGATAGCCTTCCACGTGGCGTCATAGTCCACAATGTCACACTGTAAGGTCTGGATCTTGGGAACCTTCAGAGAAAATCTAAGGTAAATTGACCAATTAACTCCCCTCATTAAGATAATAAATTCAATGGTAATGCACTATGAATGCCATGAACAATTACAGAAAATGTTCTTTAAACACTTTCACAAAAAAGAAGTACGGTATGTGCACTGAAATATGTGTTAGCTACAGTGTATCTCACTATGATGTTTCATTAAAAATCACTTAAAAATACATGTAATCATGGTTTTTCCTGTCCATGACACTAAAATACAAAGTCTTAAGTTCATATATAAATTACCTCTTTCTGTAGACTTTCCAGATCTGCTTTGGTTCGACTCAAAGCAATTGTTTCAGCTCCACATTCCAAAAGCTTCTTTGCAATGGCTCTTCCAATACCTAGGAAATTATAAAGAACATTTCTGTTGTTACATGTATCACTTTAACGGAGATAATTCAAGCACTCTTGAGCAGTTTAGTTGTCACAAAAATCTTGTATTTACAACCCAATTAGCCAACACACAAAATAAATTACACACAGATTCAATCTAATCAAAATTAGATGTTAGATCCGCTCGCATACTCGCTACACTAACATCTAACAACATCCCATAGAGGGTCACGTCAGAGGTCAAATTCGGAACACCTCTAGACTTATTTGCTTCAACAATATACGATGATTTTGCAGGCGACGATTTGACCGGTTGATGGAATTTGACCTCTGACGTGACCCTTAATGGAATGTTGTTAGATGTTAGTGAAGCGAGTGTGCAAGCGGATCTAACATATAATTTTAATTAGATTTCACGTAATGGTAGATTAAGTAAATCTAAATCTGGCTAATTTAAGAATAATCAGGGGCTGACAAAGCCTATTGTCTGAAGATTTTTTTCATTATTTCCTATGAATTCATGTCAAACATGAAATGTACCATTTTAATATACGAAACTATACTCAACACTTCTCTAACCACACAAACCGATGTTTTCCTTAAACCCTCAAAAGTTGATTCCATAAAAATCTGACATTACAGTATCAGAATTTTCACCAAACTATAAAATCTTACCCAAACTTGTATGGTAATGTTGCATCCAGATATGCACACAACCAGAATATTTATTTCGACATGTTCTGATGAGATTAAACTTTGCCACCATCTAAGATACATTCGTTGAAGTATGCTTCATTAATGATTACCTCATCCCTATGTTAAACTTTTATTAAGTATGCAGATGATACCATGTGGAGAACACAGCGGATAACAGGGGATGACAAATCCCATTGCCCGACGCCCGGGGCTAGTGAATTTTAGGGGTGGGCAAGTGAAATTTTATTAACCACTTGCCCGTAGGCAAGTGACTTATCAAAAACAGAATTTATTTGTAGGCCATAAATTTAAAGCTGGACATCCATAGGGGCTTGTATGATTTACTCAGCATTAGTTTATGGTAGGGCAAGCAAAAATTCACGTAGGGCAAGTCAATTTTGACCATGTACTTGCCCTTGGACAAGTGCCTTAAAAATCTATTTGTCAGCCCCTGGGATAAGATGCCCAACCTGATAGATCTTAGTCTATGACCTGATAGTGATATGCTAGGTGTTGAGTAAAGATATAAATAATTATTTAACCAATGGATTTGTCATAAAATAAATTTCCTTGGAAGAAAATGTAAACTACATGCCGCATACCTTTTCCTGCACCAGTGACAAGAGCTCTTTTTCCTGAAAACTGTATTTCCATTTCACCAGTGCTCGATCGAATTTCCTCGTCTCTGTGTTAGAAAAAATTTGAATTCCGATCCCGACTAAATTAATTTTATGTTATCAATTATTATCACAAACATATGATCTATTATATCTCAATATATAATTAATATTAAAAATGTTCTCTTCCATATTGTGTGACATCATATTTTTATTTTTCTCCCATTTTGTCTGCATGAATTCATTTTTTGGAGTTTAAAATCCCGGACTGAAGAGGCGTTTAGCGATCTCTCCTGCACATCCGGTTATTTTTCTCTGAATTTTATGATGATCATCATTTTCTAAAGATAAAATTTGTGTTATATCTCTTAATCCTAAAGACGAAATTTCTTCATATGACATCCGAGAGGTATACGAACTTTTCATTATACACCATACTATTTTGATTACCAAAAACATTTACAAAATTGTTCATTGCGATTTTATTATTATTTTTTAAAATCTTGTATTCTTCTTTTAGCTATGGTAATACTCTTTTGCAAGGCAAAATGATATAATTTGGTGAAAAATGTCATAAAAGCAATCTCGTTTAAAAATGTCATTTAATTATCTTTGAACATGTTGAAAAAAAAAACTTTACAAAACATTATTACAGGGACCTGTGTTCTAGCATATAGGTCTCTGATTAATATGTTTTACGGTGTGACCGTTGAGGCGAGCGCAGTTGTACCATCAAAACACTTGAAAAATTGATCAGCCACTTCAAACATCAAGTCGCACGAGACATCTCAACTAGCTGTGACGTCACACGACGTCACGGAGCTCGTCCTAGCTTACGGAAACGGCCGAGCGTCTGGTTTAAGCTATAGACCTAGCACAATTTTGGTCGAAAAACATTGCAGAGTTATTTTTTGTTTCTTTGAAAGATTTCTACAAACTGAAAGCTTTTTATGCTTTACGTTATTGTTTATTTATTTATCTATTTCACGGAAGCAACCGACATGACTTAATTAGCATATCATCAAAATTCGTAAGTGTCCGGTGACGTCATATGTATCATTTCTGAAGGGCAAGGTGAAGGCCAGTGTTGTGGCATGGGGGTATTTTTTTGAATAAGGCAAGGCAAAATCATTTTGTTAAGTTCTTGGTAAGAAACAATGTTCCTTTATTTTTTTAACTATTTTTGATTTATTCGTGCAAAGGACATTGGGTAATGCAGGAATTCTGGGAATGTTTCACAGAGAAATTTGCCTGACGTATGTACAGATTTCACTCCGAATTTCCTCTGTTCTTACGCGTTAGTCTATTGAGCTCGCTGCGCTCGTTATTATGATTAATGCAGAAGAGTATTTATTTACTGCAGTTACCGTGAAAGGACTAATTGTTGTCAAGATGAAATGTATTTAGGGAATTTGTCAGATGAGTTCACTGTGCATCAAAAACAAATTTCTACTTTTACAAAGGATGTAAATGATGTGAATAGAAGAAACAGACCCCTCCCTTCCCTTCATAAACACACAATATTATAACAGGACTTTTGAGGTAGAATTTGGTTTTGTCCCTTTAACAAAAGAAGTAATTATTGCACTTTCAGGGGTAAAAAGAGGCCAAGGAGTGATGATTGTGAGGAATGCAATCCCATCTCTAAACGTATCAACAGGCTACAAATAGAGTAAGTCTTCTCCAAGTTCTCTAGGCTCAACTCTAAACATATCAACAGGCTACAAATAGAGTAAGACTTCTCCAAGTTCTCTAGGCTCATTTCTAAACATATCAACCTGCTACAAATAGAGTAAGTCTTCTCCAAGTTCTCTATACTTATCTCTAAATGTATCAACCTGCTACAAATAGAGTAAGTCTTCTCCAAGTTCTCTATACTTATCTCTAAATGTATCAACCTGCTACAAATAGAGTAAGTCTTCTCCAAGTTCTCTATACTTATCTCTAAATGTATAAACAGGCTACAAATAGACTAACAGACTACAAATAGAGTAAGTCTTCTCCAAGTTCTCTATACTTATCTCTAAATGTATTATCAGGCTATAAATAGAGTAAGTCTTCTCCAAGTTCTCTATACTTATCTCTAAATGTATCAACAAGCTACAAATAGAGTAAGTCTTCTCCAAGTTCTCTATACTTATCTCTAAATGTATCAACAGGCTCTGAATAGAGTAAGTCTTTTGATTTTTAGGAGAATCAAAAAGAGTGCAAATTTAGTTTAGGTTAATCCTATTTTTTATTTATTGATAAGTGCATATACAACAGAAAGAGTTGCTTCAAATTCCCAGTTCTTTTAACAAATTTCTTTGTCATCTTGGCATGAAACTTTGCTATTGAAAATAAATTAATCACATTGTGTTTTTTTTTTTTAAAGAATTGTTTCAATTTTAAGATCATGAAGGATTCTTTAAATTAAACTTCTGATTTAACGCTTTAAAAACTTTTTATATTTGATAATTTGTTCTTTTGCAGATCAGTTTCAAATCAAACCGGGGCACTTCCTGCTCAGAACATGGGGTTAGTTGTTAATCATTTACATTCATCACTTTCTTGATAAACTGATATTTTTTTATGAATGAACCTCCAAGTTATATTCGTATATTTTTTGTGCATTGAAATGCATCCATGAATCAGTTATACACTTCCATTTTTCAGGGTTTGTCTTCCCAAAACTCATCCCACTGAGTCAGATGACCTACATTTACAATGTCGCAACTTACGGATACGCTCTAATTCACACGATGCCAATCAGCAAACAGAACGTAACCAACCAACCATGTCCACCAACAACAATCTGAATTCTGAAAATCCAAACTGTATGGCCTGCAACATGGGTCAAGGTGATCCGTACTACCAAGAGCTGATGGAGGGTTATGACCCTGAACTGACCGCAGTAGAAAATCCACACTACTTTGACATTAACAGACTTTTGTTTGATGCTCATGCCAGTAGAGCGGGGCGTCACAGGATTAACTTCTCAAACTCATAAAATGATTTCATGATCTGTACATTGAGGTGTCAGCTTTGTGGGTTGATTGTTTAGGTCTGAATGATGAAAGGGAAGGACTGCTGATGAACTGATCATTTTTTAAAGTCATGCTGACTCATCAGAATCTTGGTTTGTAGAAGCAGAATGCATGTTATTTATTTTGAATACTAGCAGTGTAGTAGTCCACATTATCAGTGTACATGTATTGTAAACTTTTATCTACATCTTCATGATTTTCAGTATTTTAATACATGGTATAAAGAATTTTTTATTCCTAGAAGTTTTTTGTTCATTAGTAATGTTTATATTCAGCCTTGTTTCATGGCATAAGTCAGCAGTGTTTGGTCTTGTTTTTGATTATTTTCCCCTAAGCTTGATCATTTATAATGATGACTGTGAAATTTTGAAAGAGAATATTTGAAAAAAAACTGGTTTTGTCAATGTTAATTGACTGAACTAAGATATTTTGATAATAATTGTCAGCATTACAATCTATGTACTTGATTCTTTTTAATGAACCATGGTAGGAATGAATGTTTTGCTTGATTTGAGCCGCTTAATCATTTAAATCATTGTTGTAACAGTTTTCTATCAGCTAATTTCTTGTGCAAGTGACAATTTTTGTTATAATTGCCATGTTTGTTAAAATTTTGAAATAAATTGTTACTTAATGTTTTTTTTTTCTTTTATAGATATACATGTATGTCCAAAGCGAGTTACTTTTTACTAATTTAGTACCACCCACATATCTTACAGCAGTAATATCATCAGGTTTCTTACCTTATTTGAGAGTGTCAATGTGGAGTTTTGATTCTCCATTGTTACAGGCCTAGTATTTTGCTTATATTTGGAATTTTTGAGAATGAATGATATGTTAGTAAACACTGTACCTTTTATAATATTCTAATTTATGATTCTAAAATACGAGTAGAGTTTAAAAATTTTATAAAGAAAGTTTCTTTGACCATATTGAATCTGAGTAGGGAAAATTGTTTACTTTTTGAAAACTTCATTCATTTATGATCATTCAAAAAAGTTTAGCATTTTCTCCAGGTTTCGCAAAATAGCCTACCATGTGCTGACCAGTGTTTTTGCATAATATGAAATTAATATTATGCATAAACAGGTATGCCTGTGTATTTATGGAGCATATGATTTTGCTTGTACCAACATACTGGTATCACATGTCAAGGTCAAATGGAAAAAAAATTAACGGTGCATATGGGAAAATCTTGTTAAAAAAATAAGTAGGTGACATAATTATGAAAGCTTTACCACCAACCATAATTTAGTTATAAACAAGATTAAAATTTTTCAAAAGTGGGACAAACTCCAAGGTCAAAAACAAAGGCTGTTGGTACTTAAGGAATTCTTAAAACAAGAAATATACACATATGAAATATGAAGTCCTGGTCACCAACATCGTCTCAAGCCAGGGAAATAGAATGGACACAAAACATGTGGCTTGCAATGATGAAGCACCAAATGTTCATCAAATTAAGTCATGGCCAAGGGTAGTTAAATGGTAAATTAATTTTTGCAGATTGAAGTTGCAAACTCTGAAGTCAAGAGGTAAAATATATTGTTACCCAAAGAAAGGTCCTGTCTCAACATGCTCAAGGAGTCTGATATGTAAAATGATTAAGCTTGAATTTAACCTATGAAAACTATAAATCTATGAGCAAGGTTATCTATAACTTTTTTATGGATAAAAAAATAGATAGGGAAAAAACTACATGCCCCTGAATCTTTGATTACAGGGCATAAATATTTTTAAGTATTTTGTAAACCCCCCCCCCCCGTTTATGTATTTAGTACATAATAAAATATGTTCAAATCAAATCTTTTTTTTTTATTCCGGGTATTTTTCATCTTTACAGAAACGTTCTTCAATTATATTTTCGTGCCTGAAATCTTTTAAACGCTTTTTTGCATTGCGTTTGAAAATAGAGCGTCAAGAACATGATTAACATCGCGTTGGAAACGGTAAGTGGAGTGACACTTTCATAACTTTGCCCTTTATTCCTTTAATAATAAAATAATCAACAACAATTTTCGACTGGCTGAAGTGTCCATGCTTTCGCCCCATGAAAAGAAAATTTCAAACAAATCTGAGGCTCGGGAACATGACAGGAGTCGGCAGATTTATCAATAGTCCAATCCATACTTTACAAAAGTTCTGTTCCTTTGAGGGGCCAATCAAAAGGGAAAGAAACAACATTTCTCCTCTTAATGCTACCAAACATTTGGGTGTGCTCTGTTTAAACTACTGTGTTTAATTTTTTCTTTCAAGGCGTGGGTAGCCCCATCTTGGGCCAGGTTGGGGCAATCAGTACACAAAATGTAAATCTTTTCTCTACTCATATCATGACAAAGTTACAAACCTGAAAACTACAAAGGCTACAGTGTAGACTCTGTGGGTTTTCCCCCTAAGATGGCGACCAAGGGAAATAACTTTTGAAAAGTGTGGATTCAACTATGTGAGAATAGTATACACTAGTTAGAATGATCTAACTGTGTCTCGGTACAAGCCCTCACCACAGTTAGAATACGTCCCATATACTTGCAATGTAGCAAATCGGAGCGGATCCGCTCCGAAATGATTTTGAAGAATATAAAAGGATTTGCATTGGAAATAACTACCAAATTAATCAAAACAAACCTTTTTGAGATTGCTTATGCCTTTTATCCCAGAAAATAATCCATCTAAAGAAGAAAATCCAATTAATTTTCTCAATGTTTTTCTCTCGCTTCAAATTTACCTGCCATGTTTACATTCGGAACTCTGTAGATTGTTCGTAGGAAATGCACTGAGTTATAGTGAGTACGAGTTATCGCCCATGTTTCTTTTGCTACATTACGAATACACAACGAATTCTATCGTTAAACCGGGTCCATAGGACAATATCATTTTAATGATAGAACGTTCTATGTAAGTATACACTTATTTGCTTATCCACTGACTGGGATAGCTATTTCATTAAACCTGTGACTGGGACTGTTCCCCAAGGGCTTGTTATTTTTAAATACAGGGATTTAAGAAAACCTGAGCATTATGATTACCGGTAGTTGAGTCTGTACTGTTGTAAGTTTCAGCTGTTGTGTACTGCAGAAACCCATCTAACTGCCAGCATGTCAGGTATAAAAGCACCTTCATCTTCCTGTTGCCTCGTCCTTAATTTCACTCTCATCAGTCACATATTCAGTAAAAAGAGAAATTTTGGCCCCCTTTTTTTATTGTCCCTTTTCCCCTCATCACGGGCAAAATCCACACAGAGAATTCACAGAAGAGTGCATTATCATCTTGATGACCACCATATGTTTGGACAAATTTAAAAGGGGCCAAATTGTAAGCAATTGAAAGGTGAATAGTAAAAATAAAAATGGCAAAATTAACCCTGCATATACAGTGTTGTACTTGCTGCATTTGTAATTTACCCCATGATGTGAAAACTGAGAAAGAAATTTTTATTACAGTAAATAATTCATCAGTATGAAGACCATGAAAAGGATATCATCACAGTATGACTTTAAGAGGTACCTTTCTTTTGAATTTAATATCAATTGATGCACATTTACATTCTGAAAACATAAGAAATATTTCATACACATCTTAATATGTTTTTTAAAGCTATTTTTATTGCATGGCTTTTATTTAAACTTAAATATAAAATTCTCAACCAAAGTCAAGCTTGTTTATTTGCGTTTCTCTTCATTTTCAGGCTGATGAATCCCAGGGCAAAGAAAGGGGAAGCGTACGTGCCAACGGATGTTGAACACATGGCCAATATAATCACACACGGGGTATGAGACAGTCAATGATATAGTGTTCTAGAGGACAGCGTTTATAAGAATGAAGATACATGTCTGTTAATTGATTTGCCTGGTACCTAATCTTTTAGGGCTGCATTGTGCCCAGTATCCTGGCCATGTTGTGGATGCTGTACATGGCTCAGACCGGCCTCCAGTTTTTTATCGCTGTCCTGTATGGCTGGGCTCTTGTAGCCCTCTTCTCTGTCTCCTGTACATTTCATACCCTGGCGTTCACAGGAAGATTTCAGTAAGAAATACATAATGATTTAATCAATTGTTAAAATTCAGTAGTAAATAAAAGATAAGCAGACTAATTTTATGATACTTTATTTGTAAAGTGTCAAAAATGCTTACAAAAATTTAGATATACTGTGAAATCACAAATTTTCATTGGGTTTTCATCTTCGTTGTTTTCGTGGTATAAAGAGACCCACGAATCATGTCCACCACAAAATGTAAAATATTACATACATAACTACTCAACAATTCTTCATCCACAAATTCAGATCATCACGAACCAAGGGTTTTTACTCCAACCACGAAAATTTGACCCCACGAAAATGTGATTTTACAGTATACATTTACTTGTCTGTGTTAGGTTCTATGTAAACTCAAATTTTGATTATACATGCATCTGAATATAGTTAAAGTATATTAATGAGGGAGTCTGCAAGTTTCCAGTTCCCCAAGAGTAAGCCAATTTCCCGAGGTGAAGCCAAGGGAAATATGCAGCTTGAGGGGAACTGGAATCTTGTTGACTCCATCAATGATATCATTATTTTTTTTTACACTGATACAAGAATAGACCAGTTAATAGTTTACTTTATGCAATTATTAGGCGTGCAATGACAATTTCTGTTTTCCAGAATGTAGATTAAATAAATGAATAAATTCAATAGAGAGGCACTGCATTTGAATTAATTAATAAATAACTTAAATCGATCTGCATGCCGGTAATCTGTTTAGTATGCCCACCTCATTTTCATGTCATTTTTCAGTGAGCTGTGTTAGGAATATTTATGATTATTGGCAATGAAGAAATGATACAAAATTTTCCAAAAGCATTGGAAAGTTTAAAACTATTACAAGTAAGATACAGAAAATGTTGTGAAATATGTTCATTATTCCAACAAAGAGAGATAACTTTTAAGAATAGCAAAGTAATACTAGTAGCCCTTTTAACATTCTAAATAAGTATCTGTACCCATCTTTTAACAGGCAACAAATGTAGATCTCTCCCTTGTATTTTCATTTGCTGGGTTCATATTGAAAGACAAGAGTATCAGTATCTACTTTTGATCTTAGTCAAATTTGTGTTTTCCCCTAGCTTTGTTATAACAGAAAAGGTAATGTATGAGATCATACCACTCCTAGAATAGAGAGTTCAGTTGAACCAATTAAACATTTTTTTTTGCAGATTTGATATTGTTGATGCACATTTTATTACTTTCTCACAGTTTTATTTAAAAGAGGAAAAAGTAAAAACAAAACAAATTCTAAAACAAAATTAATGAAAAAAAGTATAATTTGAAAAACAAATCACTTCTATGGGCTCCAATATGAATTTGTTTTGAATGGAAAAAAGAGCTAAATTGATCATTTATAAGATTGTTTAAATTGATTTTGAATTTTGACACAGTTAATTTAAGGTAGTCTTTCTCAACAAATGTATTACCTGAAAAAAAAACATACATATTTATATGCAATATTAAATACAAAATAATTCTTTAAAATGTTTGTTACATCTTTTAAATGCAATACATGTATTGCTCTTGTTGCCGAAAAAATATATATGTTACATTGATATTTTAGCTTTGACTAGTGTCTAGTACATTGGTTTTTGTAAAGATAATTAATTCAGGTAGTGCCAGGTACGATTTTGGAAATATTAATGTCTGTTTATCATCTTTTCAGTAAGCTGAGACATTTCTTTCATGTAGCTGACCGAGCTGTGATCTATATATTTATTGCCTCCTCCTACTCTCCCTGGTAAGTGATAATCGAGGACTTACTTTATCTGCGACTAAAACCAGATGACATTTAGATGTAGTTTAACTTTATCATTACTTTAATTATGTATCACATTAACTTACTTTATCTGCGACGTAAATCCAGATGACATTTAGGTGTAGTTAAACTTTATCATTACTTTATATAACACATAAACAGTATGACCTGTAATAATTGTAGGTTGACTTTACGAGATTTTGGAGGAATTGAGGATGAAATGATGTGGCTTATTTGGATTATGGCAGTCTGTGGAATCATTTACTCCTACACATTTCATGAGAAGTAAGAAAATAACAGTGTGGTTGGTATTAAATTTTAATTTAGCTCCATAAAAACAACCATTCATGATATTATATCAGGTGCTCTGGAATAACTCTCCAAGAGTGCCAATTTCGGGGGGCCTCATTGTGAAGAAATAGAAACTTTAATATTGCTAGAGATATTTTTTTACATCCTAAAAAACATTGAATATGTCCTTTCCAGGTACAAGATATTGGAGATTGTTCTTTACCTGATCATTGGTGTATGTCCCGCTGCTGTGGCTTTCTTAATGGTAAGACCTGACCAAGGGTAGAACTTCTGAATATATTGCAACAGTTAATACTGTAAACGTATAATATTTACCAGTGTTTTCTCTTTAGTGCTTTTCTCAGAGAAGCTTACGCTAAATTAAGAACATCCCTAAAGGTCTTGTGTATAAATATTTGTGTTCATAACATTCAAAAAGCGCCAAATGAAATCAGCTAACTTTTTGCAAAATTAATGCATGCTAAACATTGTATATGCAAAACAAAAAGCATATGCAGTACTTCCTTTACAATAAATCTTTTGTTTGTTTCAGAGAGAACCGTCTGGGATTTATGAGCTGTTTCTAGGAGGAGTTACTTTTGTACTAGGTGTTGTGTTCTTTAAGAGTGACGGAGTTATTCCATTTGCTCATGCTATCTGGCATCTGTTTGTTCTAGTTGGTACAATGTTCCACTATTATGCTATCAATCTGTATTTAATAGGACAAGAGGTAGATGAAATCAATATCAACAAATAAGCACGATCCTTTGTCCTCAATTATTGTTTTGTTGTAGGATTTTATTTTTACAATAGATGTATTTTTGTTGAAGGTTCTGTTATTAGCTTGTAGAATGCCTTGTCATGAAGTTTTTGCTGACTGTGATTTCTATCATCTATGTTAGTTTAACTTTTCATTGGCAGTCTTTTAAAACAATGAAAGCGGAGTTAACAAATTTATTTGCATAAAGAAGGATCCGTAAGGACCGCTACAAACGTCAATTTTGAATCATATTCAGAAAATGCAATTCATGAATGTATTCAAATTCCACCATTCTATCATGGCTTAAACAGTCCATATTTGGATGAAAGTTTGCCATCACAATCACTGTTGGAGATTTAAATGTCTTCACGCATGACTGGTACTTCGGGCTGGTAAGGCTTCCGTCTTTAATGAACTCTAATAACGAGTAGTTCACCTGGGGCTGATCATTCCTCGCTAGGTGTTAGTCTTAAAGACATTTTTATGTGTTGTTAGGCTTAAAGTTTTGTTGATAAATTTTAGTCTGTGATTGATAGGGTTTAAAAGAGAAAAACTAACTTGTTAACTTAGATATATTCTTTTCAATGTATTTTAAAGGTGCTAAAAAGCTCAATCTACTTTTTTTCTTTTCTTTTCTTTTTTTTTGTTGTTAACATTTTTAATTAAAGATCATGTATTTTTTGCAAAGTGAATTATGCTTTTATACATGAAGCTCGAAGATCAGTACATGATCTGGCAAACCATATGGCTTTATAGAGAGTAAAAAAAAAGCATAATACTGACAAGTACAATATAATATGGCAATTTGTAAAAATCGTTAGTGAAAAAAAAAAATCAATTTTGCAAAAATACATGTACAGCATATGTCAAACAAATAACAGCAGAACAAAAAATAAATTGTTGGTTTATGTCTTGTGATGCCAATCAATAATTTAAGAAGGAAGGTATTCTCACATGTCATTTTTTCTAAATGTGTAACTGATGATACACTGAAATCAAAATCCCCCAAAATGTACCTTATTTCATTCACTTTTGAGATTATTTGTCATAATGCATATTTAATGTAGATGATAGATATGTTACGAGTTACTGTATACAGGGACAATTTTGCTCTTGTCTTATTTTTGTCCCCCCCCCCCCCCCCCCCCACTGATGATGATGGCTGGCTATCTTTTGATAAAAAAAATTCCCCTGCAATGTATACAGTACAAGTGTTTTACAAACCATTTACGAATTAAACATGATTTTCTTTCCATGGCATAAATATCATTATAACATTAGAGTTATGAACAAACTACTTATATTTTTCATTACCTTTTAGTCTTTAAGAAGAAATTTATGAGTATATTTTTTTATTATTAAAATAATGTATATTTTATACAACAAGGTGTTCATTTATTGAAATCCCACCAGAGTATTTTAAGTTGATTTTTTAAAGCAATATGAGCTGCATTTTTGAGAATTTTATTTTGCTGGTAAAATGTATTATTATGATTAATGTGTATGTAATCTAAACCCTTATGATCAAAAATACCAAAATAAAGTTTAAAAATGTTTCAGAAGAAAAATTTCTGTACAACCAAATATACAGTATTATATAAGAAATCATTATTGTACAGGACGACAATAATTCAATTTTGCTTCAATCAAAGGTTATAAAAAGTTCTTCCATAGCAAATATGAACAACAGAAGTTTATAAATGTTTTATTTTCCTGTCATTGAAAAAGTTAATTACAAATTTGAAATATTTTTTTTACGTTGTCAAACATGCAGCTCATATTGCTTTAACCATCTTGTTTCTTCTTTGATGTAACAGGGGTGTGCATTAGACAAGTGTTGAATGTGATTTTGTGTTAAATCAAATGAAGCATGAATGAGTAGAAGATTAAATTCTTTTTTCTTTTCAATTTATTTATCATTATTTTTTGTTTATCATCATTTTCTTTCACAAAGAAATCCAGGAATTTTCATGTCTCAATCTGTTAGCATGTCATCTTTATTTTGGCTCCCCAAACCATGTTTGTATTAAGATCACTGTAATGTAAAATACTTAAGGAACTGTCTTTTTTTAAAATGAGCATGACGATATTTGCATGTGTAATATTGGTAATTATTTTATTATTTTTACCCTTTCCGTGATTTTGTTGAACCAGATCCGTACTTATTACGTTTTATTGTGATTTTTTGTCTTCACTGTTGTTTTTTTTAATTTCCCACACTCGGCGTTACATGACCAGGAGTATTTTTGTAAAGAAATGATCCCACCAGTACCTAGTTATATTTTACTGTATGGAGATGTTAATAAGATTTTTATTTTTCATTGAAAGTAATTTAAGGCACACAAGCTTACTGATATGATGTATTACATATTCACCTACCTATCCTGATATTAATTTCTGGAAGGTTAATGGGCATTTTAAGGAGTGAAATGATTGAAGAGTCTGACATGTTTTGTAACTGTAAAATAGTGTATATTGGGTAATTTTGTTGCTTTGCAAAAAGTTTTCAGATTGCCATAAAAAAAAGTGCCAACGTGCCTGTATTTAAAAAAAAAATGAAATTATGCCATGAAACATTTGAATATTTTCTGCCCTGGTATCAAATTTGCCAAATATTTACAATGCCACAATATCCCAATATACAGTAAAACATTTCAACTTAAAAGACCAATGTATAAAGTAGAGAGATGCTAGCATTGCTACAGAAGTAAAGTCTTCTCTGTGATATAAATGTGCTGTGTTCTGATATATCAGGGAGTTATGGGAATTGTGATGCTCTTTTTACTACAGGGTTGAAATTATATGAGAATTTTTCTATATTCTTTTTAAAGTACTGTAAATTTATTATATTTGGTGTGTACGATATTTGGCAGAAATTCAATTTTCAACATGTTCGCATAGATTTGAATTAGCGCTGACTGAATTTGCTAGTTATAAAAGTTAATACATGTATACAAGAAATTTAGCGATGTACTTGAATTAGGGGACTCTGCTTTCCGCCAAAATCGCTAAATAGAATACACCGCTAAATGTAATACGTTTACAGTAATTTTGGCTAACTACATGTATGAACTTTATCTCCTCTGTTTTTTTTTTTCTGTTGTACTTAATTATTTTGTGCAATATTGTGGAAAGTGTGAAATGTAATTTTTAATATTTTTTGCCTAAATACTATCGTATACATGTACAACTGTACATTAAATGCTATTTTTAAGTATTTTATAAAGCAGGTTTCAAAATAAAACATTTTTGTTCTTAACTTATTAAATGCATCCTTGTTGGTTTTTACAAAGTCAAGTTTTAAAGTTCAAACTTTTACAAAGACATGTCAGCGTTCTACCCCTCCTTCCCTTTTTTTTTCAAAGAACGTACATAGGTCACAAGGCTAACACAAATCACCTCTTTCTGACAATTGTATTGTGGTCACCAGATTGTGATCATATTCTAAAGAGAGGAAAACTTTATTTTACTTGTTGCCACAACACAAGGCCCAAAAATATAACTTATAAGGTGCCTTATAATGTCTAAGATTTATCAAACACAAATTGATCACGGATGGATAAATATTCCCAAAGCTCACTGTGACCTTTTATTCAAACAACTCGAGACTCAAATAAGGATGCTTTGTGGCAAATTAAAGTTAGTTTGGTAGAAATTGTGGTTCTTGAGAAGATTTCCAAAATGTGAAAGATTAACAGAGAAACAGCTATACAAGAGATACATTATTATAGAAAAAATAAAATTACAGGGTCATAGTTTAAGTACTGTAGATCACTAAATTTTCGCGACACCTTATTTTCGCGAGATAGTCATTGACTCTTGATTAGCGAGACAAAATTTTCACGAATTGTGGTTATTGTTCTATATAATCTTAAGGAATAGTTTTATATGCGAGAATTTAATTTTTGCGAGCACACTGTCTCACGTAATTACGCGAAAATAAAGTTCTCGCGAATAAAAAGTGATTTACAGTAGTTGTTTATTGTAAGGTGCATATGTCCAAATGATTTTCTGTCTGTACATTCTTTGATACTTTATGTTCATATTTTTATTTCAGAGTGGGGTGAAATATAGAATGGGGAGAGTCCTCATGTCCATACTGACAACAGACAAGTCCATAACATGTCTGCATGAACATCCGGGTTCAGGCTTTATTTTTTTTTTTTTATACCTAATACATTCGTATCAGACATATATATAAACCCTGTTATTGAGAGATTAATAGTAACCCTACAATACAAAAATGACTACAGAATACTGGAAAATACACATAATTAACCTCACAGTGTATCCCTGGTAAGAATAGACAGATGCCAGGCAAAGTGTGATCAGAAAAGCTCATTGCATGAGCTTTCAGCCCAAATGAGCTAAAATTTAGCCTAATCTGGTTTTTAAGAAACATTTGCAGAAAAAATAAAAGATATTTTTGTTTTACTTTTATTTATTATTTACAAGTTTACTTGAAAAAGTATTTCTTGTCTTCAAGCAACTAATATTGACCATTTGTTACATTGATAAATTATCATAGGTAAATATTTAAAGGAGAATAACTTCCCAACTGGTACATGTATATTTTAAATAAAGTATATATTGACTGGTACTGTAAAACTTCACAAATGTACACTGTACATTAGGAGTATACTGAAAGACTTAATTTTAGTGTTTGCGTCCCTACTACATTAAAACACAGTTGTCACAGATCATGTCATGTCACAGATCACGTCACAGATAAGTTGGTTCGAGAGTTGAGAACATTTAGAGCCACCTGTGGTGGCAGTTTATACACTGCGACATCTTGTAATGCCTGCTCTTTCTCAGGAATACTGTCGTCAGACATCAATACCTCACGCAGCAGAAGCGCTGATCCCACACGCAGACACAGCAACACACAGGCCTCGTTAATTCTGAAGTAAACATGGGGTGTATATTAACTACTGGGACATCTTGTATTTTTCATTGTTTTATTATGAATCCCTCATAAAACAGAAACAGATTAAAGTACTGTTGTTATGATACATATAGAAACCTACTGTCTGAAGTAATTCTGTGGTTTTGTGGTGTATTCTCCAAACAGAGGAAACAGGTTCCTAGTCATATCAAACTCCAACTGTTTAGCTCCAGCCTCATTGAATCTGTTCTGTAGAACCACCTATAGAGACACACCAGGATGTTCAACAATCATTACAAAACTCAGTACAATGAGTTCAAAATAGGCTTATAAAATGAAAAGGACAACAAGAGCCACAAAAATATCACTGCTCCTTTTTAATGAAATGTGAAAATATTAAATCTTTGTAGTAATAATAATAATAATAATAATAATAATACTTTATTTAAAGAGGGTAACCCGATTAGTGCAATGCACTAGTCTTCCTCGGGGCCCTCTAAACACATTCACAATAATACAATTATAAAAACATTGTACAATATTATAATAAATAATAATAGTGGGCTAAAAACAAGTTGAATATTAGCATAAAGATTATTTTTCATCTTACCGAGTATATTTTCCAGATGATATACTGAATACAAGGTGCTTTCTTTTTTTTTACCCCTTTTAAACTTGCAAACTACTTTACCCCATTTTACACTTGCTCTGAGACACAGCACTCTTTAACACAAGCATACTTCTTTAATTTCACAATAAAATGGGGGTGAATTCTTCCCTGTATAAAGTATTCTTAGTGATACAACTTATTAAAACAATCATTAATACCTCATCCAACATAAACTTGCTCATTTTGTCAGCTAACTTTCTCCACATTTTGACAAATATTGGTTTGCTAAGTTTTCTGTTCATTGTTGTGAGATGGTCCCTGAGAACCATCAACATTTCACAGGCTGGCATAGAAAGTGAAAGATCAGGGGAGTCCTCTAGAGTTTTCCATCTACAAACACAACAAACATCAGAATACAGAAGAATCTCTCTTTATATACATATAATTATACATGTATGCACTGCACCGAAATAGCTTAAGGTAGGATTCTTCTCTGGTTTCTGACAAGATGAAACATTCAAAGTATATTTGCTTATATGTCTTATATATTTAGATGTAAGAGATTTAAAAGACCATATTTTTCTTTCCTCATCACAATTGTACAACTTTAAATAGAAATGATAAACTGCGTTTGAAAACTACCAGGGACTATATTTTTGGCGGAATGGTGGCGTATGAAAATATCTTCTTTTCTGCCTGTCAAAATTATAGTAGAACAATGAATTTAGTTATAATTTTTACACAATCGAAGACTTGGAGAAATTTTCAAATGTAAGTTAGATTAATAATGAGCGACTAAGCTTTCAAAATATATCAAATAAATATGATTTTTCAAACAAACTAAAATTTTATTAGCTTTTAAACGCTTCCTATCAAAGTGCAGATTTGAGCCAAAAAACATAAAAAGTATTTTTTTTCTCTCTTAGTAAACGATCAAAACTTTTTGTTTTTGTATCATTTTGTACATTTATAAGACTACTTTATCATATGTGAAAATAACATTAAGTTAAATATAGGAAGCATATGAAAATAACTAATATGTCCTAAAAAATTAAGAAAAACAGAGAAAATTCGGATTAGTCAATATCCAGTTTAGTTAAATTATTTATGTAAATTTGATAATATCATGCTATAGACAGGATATAGTAATATGTTCTTATGCAAAAAGAACAATCATTAAACTTTTGAAATAGAAGTAGGTATCACATGATTGGCAGCAGTTATTTTTTATTATTCATGTCAAGGAAAAAGATAATGACCTTGACTTGACCTTTCCTCTAATATAAAACGGTCAAATTTAATTTAACTGATACTATCACTTACTGATATTGTCTTCTTGATTCTGTGAAAATTTCATCAATTTTTAAATATTAGAAATATGAGAAGAATCCTACCTTAATGCATTCTTTAAGTGAATAGAAAACATTAAATAATATTTACATTTGCTGTGTTTTTCTACTAAGCCAACTGTGAAATTGATTTGAATACCATTTTCATGTAAACTCGCATGTTAAAATATACACAGAGAAACAAGCGTTAACGTGGCATCACAATAAGGCTACAGCGACGTTAGTAAAAGTACGAGAGGCCCATGGGCCACATCGCTCACCTGAGCATTGTGGCTAGGAAAAGTAGAAATTGGTTTATCATTGAAAAGTTTAAATTCAAAAGTAGTCCCATGATCAATTATGGCTTTGCTATTCTTGAAAAGAAGGTTTTTAAAGAATTTTCCTATATATTTCTATGTACAACTTTGATCAGCCATTTTGGCCCTGCCCTACCCCTGGGGGTAATGATTTGAACAGACTTGAATCTACACTACCTGAGGATGCTTCCATACAAATATGATCAGTTATGGCTTTGCTATTCTTGAGAACAAGATTTTTAAAGAATTTTCCTATATATTTCTATGTACAACTTTGATCGGCCATTGTGGCCCCGCCCTACCCCCAGGGGTCATGATATGAACAAACTTGAATCTACGCTACCTGAGGATGTTTCCCAATAAATTCATCTTTCCTGGCTCAGTGGTTCTTGAGAAGAAGATTTTTAAAACATACCACCAGTTGTTCCAAGGGTCTATTTTGGAAGGAATAAATTTTTTGCTGCAGTTTTATGTCATGATCTGCCAAAGGTTTAAGGGAGAGCAAAGTCAACATGAAATTTTCTTATGTGCATTTTTTCTTGAAAGACCTTGAATAACCACACATTGCAATTTTTCTTGTGAATAGGTATGACTGAATTTCCTCTTATGTATCTGGGGCTAAAACCTATTTGTTGTAATTTCAATAGACTGTAAAATTCTAAATTCTGTCAAACTTTCTTCAGAGTAAATGTGGCATGAGAACCAAACACAGACTTTCTCTTATGTGTCCCAATAAGCAATATTACCCAGAGTTATGGCCCATCATAAATTACCCGGTAATTGGATTTAATTTATAAAACATGACAATATGACTCACTTCATTTTTCTATATGGTTGAGATCTAGCCTGAACATCTAAGAAGGCATGGGTAAGTATATTCTTCTCCATTTCTACCTTTAACTTGTCAAACAGGTCTATCCCTTCATCAAACACGCTCCTGTCAGCTGTGAATCCTCCCCCTCTTACAGGCATCTACAATATAGGAAAGGGGAAATCATTATCAAAGGTGCTTTTTAATTTAAAAGGAGACAGCATCATAATGTTCAGATTGTTTATATATAAACTGTACAGTTTTAGTTTGACTTATACAAACGTATAAATCACCTTTTTACTTTCCTCACTGGAATCTGGGGTTAATTCAACTGGGCGGGTGGCACTGTGGTATTGTAGCTCCACAAAAAACTGCCAGAAGAAATGAAACATTTAATCATGTTCATCATCTGAATATTCAATTGTAAGAACAATTTAAGTGGCAAGCGAATTTATCAGCTTAAACACTTTGTAAGCATCATCAACAGTAAGTTTTATCTGTAAACATTAATCATAAATCACAGTTAATTAAGACATATAGACAACTCATAATCACATTTGACAAAGACATACACATTAACTTACAGTAGTATTGCACCATTCTCTCAGGACCTCTGTTATGTAATGAACAGCATTTAATATGGCGCAAAATGTGTCGCCTAGAGAATTATGGGTAACTTCTTTCATCACTTGAACCAGACGGATTCTGAAGTCCTCCAGTAATTCTAACTGCATGCTGAGAAACTTCAGTCTGTGGTCTGGAGAGGGCAAATACTTGTACCTGTCTGTAAAAAGTTCCCATGTTTTTTATAGAGAATAAAATAAAGTAGAGGAAATTTGTACCTCTCTTAGACACAGGGAGTTAGTTAGAAAAGACTTTGCCAGGGAGAATTAAACTGCTATTCAGAATACTAAACTCTCAATCTTCATTCAAGTATTACATGTAGTAGATAAATTAGTGAAAATAACTTTCCTATAGGACTTTTTTCAGCTCAGTTTACACTCTATTCTCTGTGTTCTAGAAACAGTATGCATGTTCTTGATCCTGTGATACTTTGTTATTGTACTACTGAAATATAACACAGTTACACATACACTTTTATACATGTACCTATCAAAATATTGCTGGAGATCTGTGCATTTTGTTGAGTTACCAGTGTTACATGCATTACTAAGACCTTTTCTTATTACCTCCACGCACTCTGAGACTTTTAAAGTGTCAATGTCTGCACTGTTTTTGTTAACTTACCAGTAATGGTGGACATAAGAGTGATGAAGCTCTCCCCACACTCTGGGACCTTTAGTGTGTCAATGTCTGCTATGTTTTTTTATTCTGAGTGTTAACTTACCAGTAATGGTGGACATAAGAGTGATGAAGCTCTCCCCACACTCTGGGACCTTTAGTGTGTCAATGTCTGCTATGTTTTTATTCTGAGTGTTAACTTACCAGTAATGGTGGACATAAGAGTAATGAAGCTCTCCCCACACTCTGGGACCTTTAGTGTGTCAATGTCTGCTATGTTTTTATTCTGAGTGTTAACTTACCAGTAATGGTGGACATAAGAGTAATGAAGTTCTCCCCACACTCTGGGACCTTTAGTGTGTCAATGTCTGCTATGTTTTTATTCTGAGTGTTAACTTACCAGTAATGGTGGACATAAGAGTAATGAAGCTCTCCCCACACTCTGGGACCTTTAGTGTGTCAATGTCTGCTATGTTTTTATTCTGAGTGTTAGCTTACCAGTAATGGTGGACATAAGAGTGATGAAGCTCTCCCCACACTCTGGGACCTTTAGTGTGTCAATGTCTGCTATGTTTTTATTCTGAGTGTTAGCTTACCAGTAATGGTGGACATAAGAGTAATGAAGCTCTCCCCACACTCTGGGACTTTTAAAGTGTCAATGTCTGCACTGTTTTTGTTAACTTACCAGTAATGGTGGACATAAGAGTAATGAAGCTCTCCCCACACTCTGGGACTTTTAAAGTGTCAATGTCTGCTATGTTTTTGTACTGAGACTCCCACGCAGTTGAAGAAGATAGCAAAGCATCCATCTTCTCAATGGCAACTGTAATGAAAAAATACCGGGTAACTGCAAGTGCAAGATTTTTAAAACCCCAAATATTAAGAACAAATACTGCTTTTTTGGCAATTATCGAGAGGAAGAATTACAAGATAAAGTAATAACATATACAGTTGTAGAGATGCCTTACACTTCTTTTCAATTTCAATCCATCGTTCAAACACTTTAGGCACAGTCAGGAGATCCATGCTACTGTTCAGGCCTGCAGGATAGTCATAAATCTGATGAAGCTCGTGGTCAAAGAAAATAGCTTCGTCCACCAGGTGGCAGAACAGGTGCTCATCCTCCATAATGGTAGGCAGGTCAGAGGCCATCTTCTCCATCACAAGCACCACCAGGCCCCGCATAAACTCCACCTGTCAACAATAAATGTGTAGCAGAATAAGATGTGATTGGATTGTCATTTCAACAGTAAAAACATTTTTTAAAATATTTAATCTGTAACCTTTGCATCAACTGCATAAAGTCCAGCAATCTCCAATAGGGGTTGTATTCTCTGGTCTAAGAAGGAGGAGTGGTCCCTTATCCAGTTCAACACTTGACCAAAGTACCACTCTGGCTGTAAATAAAACCATCCTTAATTGTCATGAAAAGTAAATTCACACTTAATGGTATATTCCTTAAAACTTTCTTACAGCTTTAAGATATACTAATATACTTTTTTTCACCTTTTCCCAGTTATTTGTCTGTTTATTGCCATAAAAGTGGAATTTAAATCGTTTGTGTAGAGGAGTAACTAAATGTTGAATTGGCAGGAGTAATGGTTTAAATGAGAAATCCTGAGACATGAAATTCAGTGTCTTCTTCTCTACTTCCACACTCAATGCATCTCTGTTACTATATTAAGAAAACTGTCTTGCAATATAGGTGTATGATATTTAAATTTACAACGTGGCCTTCTTTGTCTTAGAATTATGAAGTTATGTCAACTAGGGGACAGAACTGAGAAAGTGAATTAATTCACAAACCAAACTTTCCTAGCCTCACCTTATTACATAAAAATGAAATAATTATCATAGCTTCAATCTTACATATCTGTTTATGTCAATTGGTTACACATTTGCAGAAAGGATACGGTAATTGTAAAAGAAGTAGTTGTAGGAAAATGGCATCCATATTAAGTGACGGGTCTGAAGGGACTGGGGGAGCTTTCACTGCTGTCGCAATTAATGGCCACCCTACCACCTTCAAACTCTCCTCCAACAAACTGAAATTTAACAAAAATTGCTGGATCAATCAAACTTAAAGTTTGCAGAAAATATTGAAATCTATAATTTATTTATGTTGTACAAAAAAAAAAATGTATGTACTAATTTTCTTATGCCCATGACAGTGTATTTTTAATACTCAATGTAGAAAAGTTGATACATGTTTGAAAAAAAACAAATTTAACACTACACAAATGTTTATCTCCATTCATAATTCATTTATCTATCTGTTTTTTTTTTTTAACATGCATAACAATCAGAGAAAAGTACCTTGAGAGTTTTTCTTTGAGTATGTTGTACCAGAACATGATTGTTTCTTTGAGGAACTGTAGGAGATTTTGACATTGTGAACTCTGTTTCTGTAAGTAATACTCGGACATGGAACAGAACTCCTCCACAGCTACAGCTGTTCTGTTGGCCGTCAACGCCGAGTGAATCTGAATACTACAGAAAAGGGCATCATAGGTAACGAAAAAATGCTTCATTTATTTTACTTTTAATTTTTTTGTTAGAGCAACCTAAATACTTGCCTGATGTTTTCTATGTGAGTGACACATGATAAGTAGTGCCTGTATTTCTCGAGTTCATCTATCTGATTAATGAGGGGAGTCAGATCATCCACCAGACTCTTCAGTGTTTTACAATGATCTACGACCTCACCATGTAGAGAATCACTCTTCTTCTGTAGGGATTTTATTGAGGTTTGTGCCTCTTCTGCATTCTTCAATGCCTCATCAACTTCAGGAGGAATATCCCATTCAGTAAGTGCAAGCTGATAAAAGAATAGATAGGAATAATTGTACACAGACTTTTCCCTTTATTTCAAGGTATAGAAGGTTAAAAGTCAGTTGTAATGGGCTAGGGGCAGAGGTTTGTAATTAACAAAATCTCTTTTGACCAGAGCTAACAATTAAATTGTAATTTTTTTAATATTAATATTTCAACTCTGCATTTGTGTCAATTGAAGCAGTCAATTTGGCTGGTAGCTAATTCTTAGGGAAAATTCTGTGGTTTGAATTCCATATAAACCAATTGCATACATTTGATAGTGTAGAAGTCATACAAAAAAATGTGACATTATTTTTTTTTTTACCCATTCCATTTGATCAAGGTGGAACACAAAAAATCATAAGGCATGAAATTTTCACCAAAGCCATATTTTTATTTAATTTTCAATCTCATTACACAGGAAGTTGTGTTTGACTTGACAGTGTGTGAGATAGCATTAAGATGAGCTAACATTTTCTGACATCAAAAATACTCTTAGTGGGGTTATTTTTATAATGCTTTTTAGCCGGGCTTATTGCTCAAAGAGCAATTGCCGGCTTATGTGATCCTGTTCAAGGCAGGATGTTGACCCCATAGTCGCCATTTTAAAGTTACGTGCAAAAATATAGTTCTTACTCTCAACCGCTTTTGAGATAATACAAACGCTAAACAAAGCAACAAAAATAAAACGAAGTTTTATCTATATAAAATAAACATTAGTACTAATGACTTTGAAAACTTCATAAGTCAAAGAACATAGTTCATTAGTGTAAGGATTTTTGATAATCAGTGTTAACGTAGTTCTCTACACATACGAAGTAAAGCAGGAGAGGGAACCAGACTGGCCTGTTTGTTTACATTCAGCTGCGGTACCAGATTAATTCTGATTATTAGGATTAAAAAAACTCACTGTCAGTGTCTTATCATTTATACTGATAGTTTAAAAATAATTTTTTCATCGGAATATAAACATGATTCATGTAAGAAATCCATTCTACTCTGTAAATGAGCCCGGCTCTCTGTACTTCTGAGCACTTTGATTTAATGATGCTGTACTTTTTGATGATCAGTATAGTATCCTGGCATATTGCATTTTCAACCTCCTTAGATGTTATTTATTTATTTTGAGATATCTTTCCAAGTGCGACAGTTTTTAAAATAAAAATTTCAATTGATTTTTGAACATATATAGTTAAGTTCATTCCTCAGGTTAAGACCCCTGGGAACACTTCTAGTATACCGGTCCCCATAAATATGGCGCTAAAATAGCTGCCGCCGAAGGCGGTGTACAGTATATAGACGATCGCGTGAGCGATCAACAAAATCGAAAAAGAAGCCACAAATTGCAAATTTGACCTCAAATTCGTGTTCCTTGCGAAAAATTGGGTTTAAAAAACTGGTTTTTAAACACAGTTTTTTAAATGAGAATTAAAAGATTTCGTAAAATAACGTTCTTGTTTAGGAAGTAAATCTCCATCTTGCGTTGTTTAGGAATGCAGTCACATAATCAATTTTTGACGTAATCTCATAAATATTCATGAGATGCGTCACTTGTGTTTTGACGTAATGAAGAAATGCCTGATAGGACTCAAAGTGCAATGCTATTAAAATTGCGTGATTTTTGTGAGAAATACAGGGATTTAACAAATGTTATATGATTAGTCATCGATGGATTGAATTGTGCATCATTATCGATTTGAAATGGAAAATATTCTGAATATTTGGACATGATTAGGAGGTCAGTTCAAACGCAAGCAGTTAACGGTAAGTCGCTTTTACAATAACTTGCCTAAACTCAGCGCTGAAAATCGCCATGTTTCGACAATAGAGTTGATTTACTCGAACTTTCATTTCTTAAACTTTCCTTTGTAAAGCAAACATGTCATGAACTAAACCACAGTGTAAGATATCAGCACGATTCGACAGGCTGATTCATGCAAGTTTTTGGTCACAAAAGGCACTCATAGTGCCTTTTGTAAGCAAAAATTACATAAATTAGCCCAAAGTCAGAAAGATTACAGACTGGATTTATAAAACAAACCCAATTTTAAAAACTATATAACCTAATCCTAATCACTCGATCGGATGCGTTTTGTTGAAGCGAGTGGAAAATTGCGGTTTGTTTACATTCTGCATAGCAACGGCAAGGGAAATAACTGCTCATGCGCAATCGCGTGATTCTGGGGACCGGCATACTAGAAACTTCCCGACCCCTGTTTACTGTTACTGCTTTATGTACAATATGCCTAATTTATTATTTTATAAATAAACCACATAGATGGACCTGTACATCATGAATCGGTGTATAAACAGGTCCAGTCCAAAGACTATTTCTACCTACGTAGGTATTAATAGCTACCTAGGTATTTAAAGCTACCTAAAGTAGCTATTTTTACCTACTTTCTGCTTTACTTGCATTTTGTAGCCAAAGGCATGAACGGCGCAACATGGTGAGTACACAATTTCTTGATACAGTCACACTGATGATGAATATGACAAAAATTTGGCCAAAAAATGAAAACTTCGTATTTTATCAATTTTGCATAGAAACTAATGTAAAATTGCCGATTACTACACAAGGCAAGTAATCATTTTTTCGCCAAAATTTTGTCGTTTTCATCATTAGTGTGACCGTATCAAAAAATATGGTATTCACCATGTTGCGCCGTTTGGTCTTTTGGTCGTAAAATGCAGAAATTATATAAAGTAGGTAAATATAGCTACTTTTGGTAGCTTTAAATACCTAGGTAGCTATTAATAGCTACGTAGGTAGAAATAGTCTTTGGACTGGACCTGATAAAGGCATGGTAAAATACGTTGCCAAATAAAATTAAGTCCTGATGATATTAAACATTGTATCAGTAAATAATTTATAATTTACAAAGTCTTTAAGATGGGTAGATTTAAGTTCAGTAAAAACATGAAACAGCTGGCATATTTTGAAGGTTTCTCAAACTTCGTTAATTAAAAACAGACTTGCATACTCGACTTTCCAATGCCTCTGTAGTTGCTTTGGTTTCTAAATAAAATGACTTTAGGTCAGATAAAGATTTAACGTCATTCCCAAACTTGCTATTCACTATTTTAACTGCATTTTCTTTACATTCTTCTAATGACATGGGCGCATCCATGTTTGCAAATGATCTTGTTCGCATTTGCGGTTTTAACGGAAGTAATTCAAACCTAATGTATTTCGTGTTCTGAATTAAAATTTGATTTATTGGTATTTCGTAAATTGCAATATTTTGATACAGAAATAATTCTATATATAGTTATATTAATAATAAATCTAGATAATAATATCAGGATACAAAGGTTGGAAAATCCCAACTTCTTTTCGTATAATTGTACGATTTACTACAACTTGTAGTTCAAACGCAAGCATCAAAAGAACCCTGTTTTTTAATCACGTGACTATTATTGAGCGAAAATCTTGAAAAACCCACATGAGAAGGTAGAGATTTTGGTTATTTGATCTTTCTAGAACAATTCTGACTATGGTTATGATTGTAAATAAATGAATATATAGATAAAGTCTCTTACAAATGATTTAAAAGATTTATTTCTGATTGATTTCATTAGAAAACTTGATTTTGAAGAAGTCGAAAGTATTTTGTTTCCAGTTTATTCCTGAGGTAGAATAACAAATTGAGGATATTTCATTATTTGGCATACCAGTGCCTCTTTATTGTACAGATTACTAAAGTAACTTTTAAATATTTTTCAAATCAATTACAATATCTTCCATTTTAGTTAGCTGCACAGTGGTCTTGAAATTCATTTCCATTTTACTCAAACATTCCTGCAGGGTTCTCCACAAGGGGTTTTACCATGGCGGCCCGCCATGGTTAAATTTTTGTGCGCCATGGTTAAACGAGCTGCGCCATGGTTAAAATCGGCAGCCGCCATGATTAAATTTTATTGCATTTCAGTCCTGACACCTACTTTTTTAATGACTTGAGTAGTTAATTGTGTTTATACTACGACTGCCATGCACCCCGCAAGCCTCGAAGGAAAGCGTTAAACAAACACGTTGTTAATCAGCGACTATGCTGTGAAGCGTGACAATCAATGGAGTCAATCAGCTGATCAAATATTGAGAGTTTATTATCCTGCACACATGTAAATAATTTTGGGGAACTTCAACATGTTCACTACATGAAATATTAGATACTAGTATATAACGGGTTCATAAACATGATAAAAGATGACAGTTACGAGCATGATAATCGTCATGCATGCTGTGTCAGAAAAAAATACTCTGTAAAAATTTCATATTCCTCTGCAGTTAATCAATTTCCCATGCTCTGTTTCTTTAAGCTTTAACTTTATTATCTTTATGATAAAATGTGTATAGGGCCTTCGTCTCAATCGCCATCTTAGCACGCTTAGTTTTAATCGCCAGTATAGTTGTAGTTTTAGAGTTACTTCCCGTTGGTATGAAACATCGCGTGGTGCTATTTTTAGCACTGGGCATGTGGAGAGGTAAACAAAACTTGCTGAAAAATGCAATATCTAGAAAAATAAAACGTTTAGAAAAAAGGGACACTGTTCCAAATGTTCCTTTGTGTGTTAACTTCAAAAATATTACCCATTCATCAGTTTTAGTTATAGTGAAACAAAACATTTCATACAACAGGATACAATTCTTATAATTATTAATTTCTGAAAAATATTGCCATGGTTACTGACTTACTGTATCAACAATTTTTCTTTAAATTCCTTGAGAAGGTTACTACAGTATTGGGAAATTTTTAGTACATTTGTGAAGTACGAGGGTTGTTAGAAAAGTTCGCGGACACATTGAATTACAGAAAATCTATTGTGTACTGTGAAGTATGACCTATGTCTTAATAAATTCCTACATTTTGTTTATTTGTATGTAAAAAAGCAGGTCCATTTACTACAATCTTGAAAATTTACAACGATTTTTACTATGAGGTCATGGGAATCTCGGAGCAATCACTTGACATAAGGCGACGTGACAGCCAGATTTCAACCCGTTAAGCTTTGTCGCAGTTCATTAAATCTTTCATTTTTTCCATATTTTTCTTATCTTTTTTCTACTCTAAATTTAGATATCTATATCAAAACATGTTACTTTTCTACTATAATGTCTTTTGAACTGATTCGGATATCATTGAGATCTTTTGGAAAAAACGTCTATGCGGTTAATCGATCAGGTATGGAAACTATGCAAAACCATAAAGGCACAGCGCCCATGCAATAAAGGGGTATTGAAGTATCGATGGGGTTAATCATTCAAAATGTTAATCCTAACATTCTTATAAAGCTACATCCATTTGAAAACTTTTGTCCTTTGTATGTGTAGGAAATTCCCGGCAGCATCTTGCACATTTTAATGTCTTTTTAGACATTTTCCTGTCAGCATACATAATTTTTACGTAGTGCAGTGCTCCATGACGCTCAATGACGCTCCGATTTTTGGCTGTGTTTTTATGCGTTGACCATTTATAAATGGCTATAAAACAGTCATATACCCTCCAATTTGATCCAAAATTTCTCCCAGTGATGTTTCATGAATACTTTAGCGACAGGTAAAATATCACAAATCTCTTTGCACTACAATTGTGCAATTTTTAATCCTGATAAAGAGTCTATGTGATGTAAACGTGCAAAAATGTAGCATGCTCCGTGAAGCAAGATTTATCAAAATAAAACAGCTGCATATTTTTCAATGAGCACCGGAGAGCACTAAAGTTTTGTATATTTATTGGAAAATACATTAAGAATTTATCTGAAAAGTTTGACTGGTTTCGTGAAAATAGCGCGCTCACAATAGAACTTGTTTGCGAACTTTTCTAACACCCCTCGTAAGATACAGAATAAATCTTTTTCAATTTAATTATTTTTTTTATTTAAAAAAAAAAAGTGTTAGTTATTCCATTGTTTTGTGGTGCAGTGGTTAAGTTTAAACATTATAAAACCAATCATTGATTAATGAAGATTAAGAAGTCTAACACGCATAATTTTGTGTTTTCGGTCACATTTCGCTTTCGTACAGCTTCCTCCATGGTTAAATTTCAAAATGTGGAGAACCCTGTTCATGATTATCATGTCAGACTTTACAGGGGTAGAAACTCCCTAAAATTACAACTCGCAAATACGAGTTGCAAAAAAAATGAACTCGCAATTTCAAAAGACAACTCACAATTTTAAAATGAAAGCATTTTAGAAATAAATAGCGATCTATCCAATTTTAGAAAAAAAAACTTCAAATTTTTCTACATGAGGTTTTAAAATAATTATGTTTGTTTCCTGTAACATTCCCAAAAAGTCATTGTTCGGTAGGTCAGGATTTTTAAAAAATGATTATTCAATAATAGAGTCAAACATCCCCATACTCAATAAACCAGGTGTTATATTTACAGGGGACACCTAACATGGCTGCCTAGGGGCAGAAAACGAACTTCATAAAGTTGTGGGGAAAAATTGTTGTTACAATAATGATTACTCTTTATATTTAAGGTAAATGTTAACTAGGTTGACATATATTAAGTCTCAAGTCAAGCTACAATTAAATTTTTTTTTTAATAAATGGAATCAGCTGATTGATTAAACCACGTAGATTTGGCAGAGAAAAATCCACCCTCGGAGGTAATTTGAATGGGTTTGTCTTTTTTTTTTAGGCCTGATCGTCTGACATGGGTTTAGAGATGGTGGATGTCAGATATATTTTTTTCCTGGGTGAAATTTACAATTAAAAAAATCAACATGCAAAAATTTGCGAGTTACAAATTTTAACTTGCAATTTTGATATTTTAACTGGCATTTTGCGAGTTATATACAGTGAATTTCGAACCCTGCTTTAAATACATTAAATTACTGTTTATTGTAATGATGCATTTAAAAAAAAAAAAGTGTTTACGTATATTTATATCCAAGATCAATTTGTTTTAAACTGATGGTTAAATCAGTACCAAAATATTTAAATACCTTGGATATTTTTCTGAATATCAATCAATGATAAGTATTATGCAAATGTCAGATTGAAAGAAAAATTGATAAGTTTTAATTTTATTCAAATTCTGAATATAGGATGGTGCCAAAAAAGCAATCCATATTTACATGGGAAAATGCATATAGGGGAAAAATTCTACTGATGAGGAACAGGATGGCCAAAATGACCCAGATGAGCATTTTTGCCCATGGGCCTATACCTGTGCTTATAGAAAATGAACTGATTTTTAAAGATTAATTTCAAATGTAATGTTTTTAAAAATTGATCCATGTTCATAAATATATTGCCCTCAAACTGTGAAAATTTCTATAAATTTAATTTTCTGGCCTTTTTACTGTTTAGTTGATTATGCAGCTTAAGTATTATAAGTTTAAGTAATACCAGGCAACAACTGATTCAAGAAAACAAAAGGAGCAAAGCATTATTCTAAATATTGTTCAATTTACCTTCATTATTTTTACATTCTAGGACTTTCAAATATTAAAAACTTGTGTGGGGCACTAGTGTCTATTGTTACATCTGTTTGTTCAGGGTTCAAAATTCACTATTTACAACTTGCAAAATGTGAGTTAGAATATCAAAATTGCAAGTTAAAAATTTTGTAACTCACTAAGATTTGTGAGTTAACTTTTTCATTGTAAATTTTGCCCAGAAAAAAATATGTTTTAATCCTGTTTCAGTCTTCCTCTCTGTCTGCCCCTGTTGTTTATTTCCGCCAACTTGATGCAATTATTTTATACAGATAAACAACAGAATGTATTTTTATATTTTATCTTTGTTAATCGAGTATTAACTTTTGTGAAATTTCAAATTGTTTAATGAATAGTGGTGTAATTTATTTTCGAAGGTGAATTCAAAATGTCAGGAATAGCCATTGGAAGACTGAGTGAAGAACGCAAAGCCTGGCGCAAGGATCATCCATTTGTAAGATATTCTATTTTATTAACAATAACATTGAGAGAGAACACATAGATTTTTTTATGCTATAGGTTTAGAATTGTTGCATGACGTAAAACATCATTCAATCTTTTGAGATTTTACCTGTCAATATTCTTTATTTGTTGTAGGGCTTTGTTGCAAGACCCACTAAAAATCCTGATGGTACTTTGAATTTATTAAATTGGGAGTGTGCAATACCTGGCAAAAAGGGAGTAAGTACATTTAGTTTTCTATGAAGTAAAAGTGCATTATTGCAGTTTAGTTTTATCAATGAGACTCATGATGTTTAGCATTTAGAACCAAAATTACTTGACTCAGATTGTGTCAACCTAAAGGAGGTCAAGATGACCAACTCTTGGAATGAGGCCATATTTTATGTTTTGAATCATCAATCTTGGATTCTTTGTCAGTTGTTGCAACTTGTTCTCATATTGTTTTAATAAAACAGAAGGTCATGGTGACATACTTTTGGAATAAGGCTTTATCTAAATATTCATGATACTAAGAGGCTTTAATAAAGTGATAATTTGATGTACAAATTATCAGAAGAGTGATTTTAGGCACATAAGCTTTTTTTTCTTTTTTTTCTTTTTTAAAGGAGGGTGCTAGTACATTCTAATATCATGTTAACATGTTACTGATCATTTCTCTTTATTAGATTTTTTTCAAAGATTTATCCAGAGCGACAAAATCAATTTAAATACTGCAATACAAAACTGATGTTAAATTTTTAAAATGTTAAAGTACCGGTAGATAATTTTTAGCTGAAATATTGATAGGGGACATTTATTTGTTTTACAGACACCGTGGGAAGGAGGATTATACAAACTCAGAATGTTATTTAAGGAAGATTACCCTAGCTCACCTCCTAAATGTAAGTCATTTTTAAGTTCTAAATTATCAATATATAAACATGTTACAAAAAAAACCTTTCATACATTGTACTTACAAGTTTAGCAGTGTATAAATATTTCACTGGGTTGTAAGAAATGTAAATCTTATTAAATTACTTTTAGGATTATAAATATATATTATTATAACAGTAAGTTGATCTGAAAGGTCGAATCATGTCGAGTTGACAGGCGCGGATCATCAGATCAAACAAGATGCAATGCGTCAAGTTTGATCTGGTGATATGTGCCTGTCAACGAGACATGATATGGCTCTTTGGATCAAGTTACTGTTATAATAATAAATTTATTATATACCCCCTTACAACTAGCTAAATATAGCAAAATAAAACTTTTAGAGATCAATTGTATAACATTTATCCATGAAACAAAGCATAATAACAAGGGACTTCTTCATGCGCAAGAAAAATAGCTGCCAAAAAATAATGTCATTGTTTCTGCGTACTATGTCATCATTTTCAGAGAGGGGTGATATGGATTCAGAAAACCACAGTGTGGTGATCCAGAAAGTCAGATCATGATGTCACGTGATTGCGTAAAATCAACTGTAAAATCGAGTGATACACATTAGGTATATTATAAAAGTTGATATCATTAAAATCTTGTTTGTAGGCAAGTTTGAGCCTCCACTGTTCCACCCCAATGTGTACCCGTCAGGGACAGTGTGTCTGTCTCTACTGGACGAAGAGAAAGACTGGCGTCCGGCCGTCACGATTAAACAGGTCAGAATTCTCAAACAGGTTCATTTAATCACACCTTTCAGTTACAGATTACATTCTTCAACTGCCTTTGTTTAATCCAGATATATAAAAGAAACCTTAGTGTAATCTTTTTTTTCATAGATTTTATTGGGTATCCAAGAACTGTTAAATGAACCTAATGTGAAGGATCCAGCTCAAGCAGAGGCCTACACCATCTACTGGTAAATACAAGTCCCCTGTCTGTCAGTCTGTCTGTCCCCCTTTCTTAATTTCTCCTCATTAATAATGTTCCAGTATCACTCTCCTTACAAGTCCCCTTCTGATGAAACTGAAGGGGGCCTTAGGTTTCCCTATCAGCCTATTTGTCTCCTTGTCTTACTTCTTTAGTATTAATGTTTTTTAAGAAATATGAATCATTCAAGGATGAAATATACTACGTACAGTGTACATGTACTACAAATGCCCATACAGATCATACAAAAAAGTTAAAAGCAACTCTTAGTCGGGCTAAAAACAGGTAAAATTTCTTAAAGGTCAAGTACGGTAAAAATAGATCTTAAAAATAATGTTTATAATTCATTAAAAGCATAAATGAAAGTTTATGGTCGTGTTTGTTTATTAAAAAATCCAGATATAGACACAAAATACCTGTTCAAATATCGTTATTTATAGACATGGGCGATAGGGTTGTCGCTCTTTCTGATGACGTCATCAGAGACAATTGCACTATAGGCGCTATTCTATAAACAGCCGATAGCTGATCAAAATGACTAATTCCAACGCTATACCGTGTTATTGACGGTAAACTCGAAGATATACTTGAGTTTATAGATTCAATCAATTATGTTTGATCCCACTACGAAGCAATGAGAATATGTTAGGCCTGCCTACATGGATATGTCATCGAAGTTAGAATCCAAGAATAATGAAAGTAAAAAAACGGGAAATTCTCCAAAAAGCAATGATTTGCTATGTTTTTGTATTGAAAATAAATTAAAAACAGATATTCAAAAAAGCTCAACATGAAAATCGAAACCTTTAGGACATTCTTAGCATCTATGTAGAATGCATTGTTTTAGACTCTGAGTATTAATAGTCAGCTGTGAAACCATGTAAAGAATTATTGGCAAAGTTAAAAGTGATCAGCAAATAACTCTGTAGCCGCTTGTAGTTGTTTTAAATCGTACCCCCACTTCAACTAAAATAATTTTTTTTAAAAACTAGAACATTCAGCATGCGAACATGCCTTAGAATATATATAGTGTAAATTACGCGGACTTGTTGCACAGAAAAATATATTTGACATGATCGGGCAAAATGTCACATTTAATATAAACGAATCTTTTCTTATATGGTCTTCAAAATTTCATTTCAAAATGTTGTAAAATGATATCAATTTTGGGTGATTTATCAGGACATATCATTAAGTCACGGAGCAGCAAAATCTTCTATAGCTACGTCACGGGCATTATGAAAAATATATAAGTTTTCACTTTCTCAACATTTTCCCAAGAATTCCTGTTGAGTTTGAGTTACCTTATGTATTCAATATCCACACGTTATTTCTTGTCAAGCTTAAAATCTTTAAAACAAGTAAAGAGTGTGATATTGGTCACTCTCAAGCAGGTTCTTTTCAGTCCGAATAAAGTTTTCGTCGATAATCTTCTTCCCGTCCTCCCCTCTAGCCTTTTTACAGAGGTCTAACGGTCTAAATCTAATTTGCTATTTGAAGACGAATACCCTAGTTTACCACAAGTTTTATTATACATATTTTGGATCTATGTTGGCGATATCTCGATCATTACACATAATTTAACAAAAGTTTGGTACTCCTTCTATTCAGACGTCATTTTCACAGGAAAAGTATCGAAAAAATCACTGTATTTCTGTTTGTACTTCAAAATCACGCCAGAAAATGAAAAAAATATCACATTTAATAATTATTTTACATCTAGTTGTTCCATTTTGAACCATACCTGTATGTTAAATAGATTTTTTAAACACCGATCCTGATGTTTACATGTTACTAAGATCAGACATTTTATTTAGCACAGCCACGTAGCATCGTTTTTGAAACGGGGACAGCCAGAGAAATTATTTTTACTTACCTGAAAAAGTTGACAAGCAAAAAAGAAAGTTGATCAAGGTCGAAAAATCCTATTTCGGGGTAGGGGGAGACAGTGCCAACTTCTTTCAATACCATTTTTTTGGCTCTACAATACTACATTTTCCTTATATTACAAAAAGTGGGGAAGGGGGGGCAACCAGCATTTTTATGAACATTTCATTTAGTAAAAGTAATGTTGGGGAAAAAGTGGGGAGGTAACCCCCCCCCCCCCTTTTCCGTTGCTACGTGCATGTGGCAACATTTGTTTATGTTTCTAATCATACTTTGGGGATTTCTTTTATGAAATTAGGGGAAAACCCCACATTTCTTCACCATTATGAATTGGGCAGTATACAAGCCTTCTGCAACCCCTGAAAATCCAGGGTATACTAGGTGACATCGAATTTCCTTCGATCGCGGTCTATTGAATCATGAATAGCACTATCTACAAAAATTATTCACTAACAAATGTTCACTTCATATGGTGATAAAACCATCAGATTCAATGCTCCAATGATTTTGAAAAATTCTGAGCCAGAGAAAGGGTGGGGGGTATCCCTCACAAGTACTAGTCCCTTTCCCGTATCATCTTGGAACCCTATAACCATGCACGATCCCGTTGAGGATCTAGGAACTTTACATATAGAACTATGAATAAATCACTCTCGTGAATTTATGCCCTGACTGTCAATACAGATTCTCGTGCCTCCCCCCTCCAACTTTTTATTTAATAAAAACAAACAAACAGAAAAAAAAAAACAAAAAAAAAAACACGTAATTGTACATATGTACCTTGTCGACATTGTGAATTTTAATTATGGTATAGAACACATACTCTTTGTGATAGCCATTTTCACAATGTAAAGGTTTTGTGATTTCGGAAGATGTAGCACCCGACAGATGAAAAGCAGAGATAAAGATATGGAATTTGTTGCATTGTACCGATTAGATTGAACTCCTGTGGCTAATCTTTGTTAAATTGTTTTGAAAAATAAGGTGAGACAGAGTAAATATATTTCAATTTTTAATAAAAAGTCCATGTTAACTAAAAAAACAAGACTTTGAATTACATGTACGTGTAATAATATGCATGCACAGGCACCTGACGTTACTTATTTTTTTTTAAATGAAAAATATTAGGTAGGGGTATATTTTTTATTACAAGAAAAATAAGTAACCTCAGGTGCCTGTGTATACATGGTATTTAAAGAACACAATCCACTCTCTGCATTTTTTTCAGTGCAAACGCAATAATTCTATACGGCCCCGGTATGCCGGTCCCATACAAATAAAAATCAGTATAAAATTTATTGATCTCGTTTGAAATAATAATGCATTTGGTCACTATATTTACCGGATACATGTGTATTTTTTTAATTTGCTTAGAGATTAGATACACTAACTATTTTAAATTCATGTATTGAAATTTGCAGTTTTTAGTGAATGTGCTGTACTACAGACAATGTGTGCTCTCCAAATCTGTCTTTCTCTCGCTCAGTCACTGCAGTCAAAAGTTGTCTCTGATGACGTAATACGTTATGGGCGGTAACTCGCGTCACTAAAAAAATATCGATAACCCAGGTAAATTTTAATCGCGCAGAAATGTCATGCCAGACGGTTTTAAATTAAACAGTTATGGGATTTTAAATCATATGAGACCAGTAGACAATTCTGTACATATTATTCCAATTTTACAAAATTCTCCATACTTGACCTTTAAACAATAACGCAGTTGTTTCTTAAAAGGAAAATTGAATTGGAAAATGTATTTCCAAAGTTTATTTTGTTAAGAATTAATGTAAAAATGTGTGGGATTTACAGTTGCATGATATTGCATGATATACACTATAATAAGGAATTATAATTGTCTTTTTCAGTCAAAATCGCGTGGAGTATGAACGACGTGTTCGAGAGCAGGCTGTCAGATTTCGGGATCCTTCCTTATAACTGGAAACGTGAGATAAACAATTCAGGGATGATATTGTGTTACGTATTTCTAAAGCTCTCAAACTGGTGAAATGAAACAGACCTTTATATATGCTTTATTTCTGGCAGGATTCAGTAGATATCAATCATTCAGTGCTTCTTCATGGACGGATTATTTGTGCATTCTGTTGTACTATTCACCAAGAAGAGAGAGACTTCTTCCTTCAATGTTGGTGCATTGTTTGTGACATTAATTATTAAAGCAGTGCATTTTAATGTTGTTGACATGTTTAAGAAATCTCCAATTTTATATTAACCTTTTTTTTCTGTAATTCATGTTTTGGTCTGCCAAAATTGGGATTTGGTAAAATAAAATTCAAAATTTTTTTAAATACATGTATTTTTTTTCTTCAAACAAATGTTATGGGTTTGATGGATTCCATATACATGTATGTGAAATTCATGAGACTACCAAAGTGAAGTTGTAAATAAAGTATTTTTGAAAAACTACACTTTACTGAGTTTTGAGTACATGTATATTTACACAATTACTCTTGAAATTTATTTCCATCTGTCCAGTGCCCTAAAATTTTGAAAAAGTTTTAAATAACTTCAGATTTTTGAATATTTTTTCTTCAAAGATGGAGGGCATTTTGCTTTGCTGCGGTCAGTCAGCCTGTCAGTCCACCAAGTTTCCATACATTTTCTTTGCAGAGGTTGCACATACTGAAATGCAATTTGGTATACAATATATCATAAGAATATCCAGCATAAACTCTGTTTTGGGTTCGATTGAGCATTTTTGACAGAGTTATGTCCCTTAAATTGGACTTTGAAAAATTCAAATTATTTGCAATTTCCATTCATTTTCTTTGCAGAGGTTGAATATGTAAGCAATGAATCATTATGTTTTGAAAGATATAGTTAATAACTGCAATGATGTGTACAAACAAATTGAGTAATGCACATTATGAAAATTTGTTTGCACACACCATTGCAGATATGAGACCATACCTTTCAAAAAGTAATGATTCATTGCTTATATTTACATTTTTTAATTCACCACCTTGACTGCAAATGTGATTTTTATATTTTAAAACCCATGTATAATCCTTCATATAAGCTACAGTTAATGGAAGAGCCATCATAACAGCTTCTGGTCATATTTTTTGATTTTCACTTATGACGTTGCACTTCTTCGGCCTTCAGTGATGGTAAAGTCAAAATAAAATGCATGCTTTAACCGTTTGACCCCCTTTCCATGTTATGGTGTTTTGAATGCCATAGATTTCCATTCACTTTAAATGCAAAAAACCTCTGTAATGTAAATATACTGAAATGAAATTTGTTATACCGATTTATCATAAGAATTCCTAGGTCATGTTTTGTTTTGGGTACCATTGATATATTTTTAAGAGAGTTATGCCCCTTGGATTTGGAGTAATCCCTATTATTAGCAGTATCCGTTTATTATGTTCCCCAAACGAAGTTGGGGAACATATTGTTTTTACTCTGTTTCTTATTATTATTATTTTTCTTCTTCTTCCTGGGTACTTTTTTGTCCGGGAATGATCTTGTAAACTGTTCATCCGATGTAGGTAAAACCTTTTTAGGGTTAGTAGACATGTTTTGTAGATTTGCCTAGTCAAGGTCATTTTGCGCACACGTGCTTGCAAGAGCGCGCACGTGTAATACGTTAAATGACCAATATAATGGATATTGCTGTAACTTTTCTTTTTTTTGATGAATTTTTTTTAAACTCATAATGTAAGGATACATTAGTAGTATAGACAAGATGGCATGGTCAAAATAGCAAGATCTCACGCGCATGCACGTGTGCTTCGCTCTGATTGGCTGAAACTAAAGTCTCAATATCTATCTTGTTTCGTGTCATAATCTTTTGAAATTAGACCTACATTATGAAGATCTACAGCATGTTATATAAAAATGTTCATGAAAGCATGCGCATGCGCACGTGCTGCAATCTGGTTGGCTGAAACTTTAAATGGCTATATCTCCTTTGTTTTTTGACGAAATGCTTTGAAATTTAAAACATTGTCATGCATTAGGATATCCTAAAATATGATATAGAAAAAAATTCATGAAATCACGCGCATGCACGTGTGCTGCAGTCTGATTGGCTGAAACTTTATTTGGCTATATCTCCTTTGTTGTTTGACGAAATTTTTGGAATTTTAAAATATAGTCATTCATTTAGATATCCTTCAATATGATAAAGATAAAAATATATGAAATCACGCGCATGCATGTGTGCTGCAATCTGATTGGCTGAAACTTCAAATGGCTATAACTCCCTTGTTTTTCAACCAAACAGGACGGGATTTAGAACATAGATAAATATAAGGGACTCCTACAAGAAGGTGTAGTCATTATGCACGTGCGTGCATGTGAAATCAGTAAAATTAAAAATACACTCGAATGAGTGTATTTTTTTAATACTTTTGGATTAAATGCTTTGATATTAAGTATATTAAAATTTTAGATAGTGTAGACAAGATTATATGGTCGTTACGCACAAGAACACGCGTGCAATGCCTATTTTTTAATATATTTTGAATTTTCTAGGAAGACCTTGAATAAGTCTAAATTCCATTAAGTATTTCTTATTTAATAGAAATTACAGGGAATATGGCACCAAAAGGGAGTTGGGGAGCGTTTGGGGAACATCTGTAACGGTCCCCGTTACAATTAGCACTAGTTTTCTTTGTAGAGGTTGCACATACTGACATGAAATTTGATATACAGATTTATCATAAGAATATCTAGGTCAGGCTCTGTTATGGGTATAATCGAGCAATTTTTGACTGCGTAATGCCCCTTGGACTTAGCCAATGTCCAATTATTTGCAGTTTCCATTCACTTTATTTGCAGAGGTTGCACTTACTGAAATTAAATTTGGTATACAGATATATCATAAGAATATCTAGTTCAAATTCTGTTTTGTGTACAATTGAGCATTTTTAAAACCGAGTTATGCCCCTTAAATTGGACTTCGAAGAATTTCAATTATTTGAAGTTTCCATTCATTTTCTTCACATGTATGTCCAGGGTGAGGGGGCAGAAGTGTTTCACAAACATCATTGATATTACAATTTCATTATCAACAAATTCCAATACAGTAGTCTCATTATCTATATTCTCTTGCTTATTCCCGATTAGTACATTAAAAATGGATGAAAACCATTGAAAATACATAATAGGTACTAGTAATTCATTAATCCATGTTCAAGAAGCTGCAAGTAAATCTTTGCAAATTAGACCTCAATGAAGTTTATCAATTTCACAATTAATTCAATCCTCTGATACTTTCTCATCTTTAGTCCTCAATAACATATATATATGTATATGTAGTAAATGACCGGCAACTTGATTCAGATACTGATCCTGTGGACAGAAGAGTCAAAATGCTTATCTATGAACATTGTATAGGTCTTGCATTGGAAAAAAAAAAGATGAAAAATTTGCATCAAAAGCAAAAATCAATGGATTTAAAAAAAAAAAAATTGATTCAAGGCCATAACATGAGAATAATCACAAGTCATAAAAAAACAATTTAACTTTGAAATTTTAGAAAAAGTACATTCTCATCATGCTTGCACATATGTACGAAAAATAATGTACACTCTTTCAACTTTTTACACATAATTTGTTAAATGAGAACAAGATATTCTAAATCAAAGAAAGAGGGTGTACAAGGCGTGGACAATCCCCCACTCAACAAAATGTTACTCAATTTTCAAAATTCACAGAAAAGTTATGATTTTTTTAAAATCATGTTCTCAGTAATGACATCTTCAAAACATTTTATTTTATTTTACTGAACGACTACTCATTTGATAATTTTATTTCAAAGTTGACGGTTAAGCATATATAGTGGAAAATGGGTTTACTAGAGGTATAAAAAATGAATTTTGAACATGAATGGGTCAAGTCTCAATTCTTCGTTAACGCTTAAATGATAAAAACGTGAATGTGAAATCTATTTCATTTGTCTAAAAAATGGAATCTGAACCCATTCTATATGAAAATCGAGAATTTCTGAAAAAATTTATGCTTTAACAAACTTGTTCATTTAAATCACACTGACAGACGTCAATAATGCATACTCTTCGTAGCGTAGTGTTAAAGCGGTCGGTCTTGGACCAAACCCTGTGCCATGGAGAGTCGAATCATACGTGTAGCTTTTTCTTTTTTTTTTTCACATGTCTTAAAAACATGAGTGAAAAATAAATCATCAGTAAAATATTAAAACAATGAAATACAGAATTAAATGTGTAAAAGATGATATAACCCATATAATTATGAAAAATATAACTTTTAGAATGAGAATTGTTTATTCTCAGAGCGGGGGATTGTCCTCGCCTTGTACGCCTCCATTTTTTGACAGAAGTCTGTTCTCAGTTGATGGTCTTGGGGCCTGTAGTATGTGACAAGAAATTCATCCTCAAGGTTCAACACCTCATCCTCATGATTACATAACAAGATCTCTCAGTTTTACTAGAATTTAATAAATATGCTAAGAAAGTAACAAACCATTTTTATATATATATATTTTTTTAATATACAAAATGCATAATGGGACATTTTTACTGAAGTACATGATAAGTCAATATAGAACAATATGCCCTGGACTATATGTGTGCATGGTCATCAGCCACGCTTGCTACCATCATGGCCTGATGTAATGGATCACCAATGTCAGCATCTGGAGCCATTGCCACTGCTTCAATTTCATTGATGGATGCTGCTCCTGCAGCATGACCTTGGTCTCCTGACTCTGTTCCCATCTCTCCTCCAACATACCCCTCCCCCTTAATGCCGTCCCCTGCCGAGGTCAGCAATGTTATAGTCTCAAGTTCCTCCACACCCTGATTAGCAGGCATTGTCGCTGGATTCATGGCAACAGCTTCAATCTTGTTTATATCTGAGTGGTCAATGGTAACCGCCTCAATTTCTCCCACGGAAGACGGTGCCATGGCTACAGCCTCTATCTGATTGTCTGATACAGGTAAGGTCACAATCTGACTTCCATCATCAATGGTGGAGATGGGCATCATGGCAAGGGTTTCTCCTGTCTTTGAGTTCAGAATCTTCATATTATCTCCTGAATCAGTGATAACAACATAGTCATCTGTCACTTGAACACCCTCCAGAAAGTTTGGATCCACCTCTCCTTCTGTGATGATCTCTACATTTTGAAGGTCTTCTGCACTAAGCCCCGTCTGAACCACGACATACTCTGTGGCTTCGTCCTCCTTCAAATAAAACAGAAAATTAGAAATCCTTAACAAGAGATGCAAAAAATTTGTCACTCAATTTGCTCCCTCTTTCCCTGACAAATGAAATGTATGACATCCTTTGGGTAGCACAAAAGAAGTGAAAGTCAAAAGCCTAAACATTTAACAATGATTGACTACTGCAAACTTGTTTTGTATTGATGTTGCAGAGAGCATTCTTTTTTTCAGATAATTTGTTTTCTTTGTACATGTAC